TGGCCGACTAATATGCCATCGCATAAATGTACTGCATCTTCTTTATCTGTTCATTTACCTACCGATGGACACTTTGGTTGCTATTGCAAACATTCTTTCAATGAACATAAGGGTACGTATATCTTTTTGAATTAACATTTTAGATTTCTCCGGATAAATAACCAGAAGTGGAATTGCTGAGTCATACGGTAGCTCTATTTTTAATCTTTTGAGGAACCTCCTCACTATTTTCCATGGTGGCTGCACCAATTTGCATTTCTACCAACAGTGCATGAGGGTTCCCTTTTCTTCACATCCGCGCCAACATTTGTTTTGTGGATTTATGTTTATTGGCGATAGCCATTCTGACATGTTTGAGGTCATATCTCATTGTGCTTTCAATTTTGCATTTCAAATTTGCATTGTGGTTTTAATTTGCGATGTTGAACACCTTTTCCTATCAGACTTGGGTTTCTTGAGCTGGCTTGGGGGTGGCCCGGGGTTTATCAGTAATGAGGAGATGATCCGAAGAGAAGGCTTTTTACCCTCTCAGCTGTCTTCTGAGAACTCTTCTCAGGGTGAGTCACCCATGTAATATGACAGGCACTGTGTGCCCAGCATGTAGGAGGGCTTAACACAGTTATACTTTGGACGAGCAAATAAGCCGCCTGGAGGGCGGCACCAGGCGGGTACCGCAGTACAATAGCCATCGGGGGCGGGTGTGGCGGCCTCCATGACACACGTTTGGCTCCGTACATGGGTAAGTGGTCGGTGCAAGTTTGGGTGGGAGCTCATGGCCCAGTTTAACAAAGAAGGGGGCCAGCAGAGAGCTCGAAAGTGTATCTACATGAAGGAGCGAGGAAAAGTGGTTGAAGAGCTGGTAGTGGAATTTTTCGGAGAGAAAACTATCTTTTTGTAGCCAAACATCTTGGAGGATCATGGCTATTGTGAGGTGACCACCCCCAAGGCCTGGCCAGCATGGGTTTTGAATGAGACAGAGAGCCACCCTAGGCAGTGCGGGGGGGCAGCGATGCGGCTGTGAGGGGTTCTCCCAGAGGGAGGGCTGGGGGGCCCCAGAGAAAGAACTTCAGAGACAAATTGCTGGTGGCCGGGTGACTGAAGAGCTTTAAGAATAAAGACGCCTAACAGTTATCTGTAAGTTGTGGCTGTGATATTCTGTAATAACGATCCATCGCCCCCGTTTTCAGTGAAGTCTTACATGTGGGCTTCCATCGGTGGAGGTTCGTGGAGCAAAGGCACTGGGGGCGGGGGGTAGGAGAGACCAGTGTGGGGCAGACAAGGGTCAAAAGATCAGACATGTGCAGGAAATGCGAATGCAGAAGTGGCCACGGGAGGAAACACACAGGTCCCAAAAGATCCCCTTCTCCAATGGTTGCTCTGGTGATTAAAATATACACTTTTAATAGAGCAAGTCTATTTAGAGTTAATATTGCCCCACTTCATGTAAAATGTATAAGCCTTGTAATCATATAGCTCCATTTCTCTCTACATACATTAAAATCCTATAGCAAAATGTCATAATTATTGCTGTACACAGTGATATTTTAAAGAAAATAAGAGAAGAGTCTTATACTTATCCATATATTTACTATTTCCAGTGCTTTCCATTTCTCCCCGAACAGCTGAGTTTCTACCTATTATCATAGCCCACCAGCTTAAAAACATTTCCCGTAGCATTTTTGTAGTAGGTCTGATACAAATTCTCTCGGTCTTATTTTACCTTGAAAATGTCTTTATTTCAGCTTTATTTTTGAAGAATATTTTCACTGGGACTAGCACACTATACTAGGTTTCCTTTTCATTTATTTCAGGAGTGTTTTCCTTTATGTCCTTGGGTCTAGTTAAAATAGCTGCTGTATCATCTTTGTCCACCATCTAGAGTGCGTTGATCTCTGTTGTTTATCTTTTCTCCTTAGATGTGTGCGTGTGTGTGTGTGTGTGTGTGTGTGTCTTCCTCTCTCTCTCTCTCTCTCAAATCAATAAGTAGATCTTTAAAAACTAAATGAAGCAGGACACTTTCTGGGGATAAGCTCAAAATTAGGCATGAGAATGCAATTTACATCCCATGGACGAAAACATAATTCCACGTAACACAAAGGAGGACTTCCCTTGTCCGTCCCTGTGCCCCCATCCCCATCTTGCCAGGGCTGTGGATCATGGTGCCTTGTCATTCACAGGCATTCAGCTCCTCCAGGCATCCAAGACGCCCCCACCCCGCCCTGCAGGCCAGGGCTGGGGTGAGGCGAGCGAGGCATCTGGGTGCTCTGTTTAAGATGGTGCAAGCTCAGGTGGGCACCGGAGAGTGACCGCCCCTGCCCTTTTGTACCCAGCGCCTCCCCTGCCTCGTCCTAGTCTTGGCCTTCCTGAGCACAGGAGCAGCATGTCACTGTCTGTTCCGGTCCCTGCAGGATGACACATGGACCCTGAGCCACTTACTTGGTGCGAGAAGAAGGGAGAAGCCAGCGGAGGGAGAAGCTGGATTGCCGGAGCTGAGCCCCTCAGGGGTAGGCTCATCCAGGACGGCCGAGGGCCCAGGGCTGCTGTGTGGGGACCGGGACTGCTGCTGGTCGTGGGAACGGCCCGGCGCGCGGGCCAGCACTGCCCTGTCCCCCCACCGTTCACCGTGAAGTCTGGCTGGGCCCCTGCACAAGGACTTCCTGCGTGTCCCCAGGGTTCACTCCCAATGGCTCAGGCTCTCTGAGCAGCTCTGATCCGTGTAACTAAAGCAGTTCCACTCGCCCCCGCCCACCCTTACCCCCGTCAGCTACCCTCCTCAGCCAGTACCCCTGGCCTCAACTAGTTCCTCTGGCCTCAGCCAGCTTCCCCTTGGCTTCAACTCGTTCACCTGGCCTCAACTAGTTCACCTGGCCTCAAATAGCCCCTCAAGGCCCCGTTTCTTGAAGGCTTGCCCAGCCTCAACCCGCCCCTGGATTTCCTGCCTGGCTACTTTCAGGCCCTGGCCCACGCCTGGGAAGCCTTTACCTGCCTCCTTCCAGGACATTCCCCTAGCGCCGGACGGCCCGCCCGCAGGGCTGCCTGGGCTTTTTCCCGCCCACAGCCCCAGCTCCCAGGAGACGGAGGGGCTGCAGGTGATGGATGTCACTGGGTGCCCCGGACAGGCCAGGCCAGCTCAGAGTCCATACAACCACACAACCACACTGCACACACGGCGCCCTGTGCCCTGCTTCAAAGTCAAGGACGCCGAGGCTCAGGAAACCTAAACCCCACACGAGCTCATACCTTTAGGAAACAAAAAGCATATTTAAACCCCATCCTGTCCGATCCCAGAGCCCAGGATGTACCGCCCCGGCCCCACCCACAGCCTCCTCCCTAAATGCGTGACTCCCAGGGCCTAGGACACACCAGAGACATGCAGGAGACCCCCAGCTGCACACAGCTTGGATAAAAGGACAAGCCGAGGCTGTGACCGGGGAGAGAACTGACCGTTGCAGACGGCCTCCCGGACAGAACATGACAAGGCAGTAAACTGTCCTGGACTCTCCCTGCCAGTGTTGGCCCGGCACAGAGCAGATGTCCCCCAGAGGGACCTTGGAGTTGAGGGTCTGTGTGGGCGAGACCAGGCATTTGCATTCCAAAGGCTCTCTTCCCATTGGAGTGAAGGCTGGGGCCTGGGAGAAAGCTTCTGCCCCCAGAGAGCTGGGTCTCCATGGAAATTAGTTTGTGGAGAGAAAGGAGCTATTTTAAGGACAGGCGAAGGGAGGACCTGTAGGCCGGGCTTAGGGAAGGTCGCTGTGGGAGAGAGCTTTTCTGAAAGGCTCCCTAATTTCCCTCCTATCGGGATGGAAAAGGAGCCGAGACTCAGGAAGGAGGAGCCCGAAGGCTGATGATGGTCCCTGGGGAATGGCCCCCCAAGCAGGGGTGGGCGGAGGGGTGGGGGAGGGAGATGCCTGGAGCCCAGCAGCAAGCGGCTGTTAGAGAATATCCACCCCATACCAGCCCCTTCCTGTTGACACAAAATCTGTGTTCAGAGAATCATGCAAAGAAGCAAAAATGTGCATCTTAAAACAAGTAATCGTAACAGCCTCTGCAATCTCAGGGGCGAGCCCTTGGTGAGGAGCGCTCAGTCAGTAACCCGCCTGCTTGGTTAGGAAGCTGGTGACGAAAAGCTGACGTAAACTACACGTGCCCCTCCTACGATGGGGTTACATCCCTATAAATCCTTCATAAATTGAAAACAGTGCAAGCCAAGCCCTGACCAGTGTGACTCAGTGGGTTGAGAGTTGTCCTGCAAGGAGAAAAGTTGCTGGTTCAATTCTCGGTCAGGGCACAGGCTTAGGTTGTGGGCTGGCTCCTCCGCATGGCCTGTGTGAGAGGCAAACGAAGGATGTTTCTCTCCTTCTGTTTCTCCCTCCCTTCTCCTCTCTCTAAAAATAAATATATACAATCTTTTTTTTAAAAGAAAATACCATAAGTCAAAAATGCTTTTAATACCCCTTACCTCCTGAACATCGTAGCTTTGCCTCGCCTACCTTAAAGGCACTCAGGACACGATATCCAAAAATCACTAGCAACAAACAGCATCGGCTACTGACCTCCGAGCTCGCGCGCCTGCCTGGGAGCAGCCACTGGTGGCCACATCGCGGGAGAGTCTCGTAACTGCATGTCCCTGGCCATGGAAAGGATCAAAATTCAAGATCCGAAGCACAGTTTCCACTGGATGTGTGTCACTTCCACACCTTTATAAAGTCATAAAATCCTAACTGGAATCACTGAACCACCCTAAGTCACGGGCTGTCTGTAACTTAGTTCGGTGATAAAGAGGTGGGAATTTCTGGGGTTGCCCCTCATCCTGCTGTGGGAGTGTTTGGGAGGCGTAGAACTGGGAGCAAGGCAGAGCGGACAGAGAAATCTGGCTAGAGCCAGCCCCAGTAGATGGTGGCACCGGAACTCGGGGACTGGATGCGGTGTTTGTGGCTGGGTGTCAGGAAAAACGGCCACACGGACGGGAGCTGAGTGAGAAAGGCACAATTTATTGGTCGCACAGACTGGCACACGAGGGGACGTGGGGATGTATCCAGTCTCTCGTACTCACAAGCACACTTCTGGATTTGGTTTCCTACGTTAATTCTGTTATGTGAGAAAGCAACACAAGGAAAGACATCACGGATCGATTCTAGCAATCAGGGAAGCAGGGCCCGCGGCCACGGGAGCTCAGAGAAAAGGCCGTGCTGTTTTGAGAGCCAGGCACTGAGATGCTCCCCGCCGCCCCCTGTCCCAGGCAGCCAGGCAGGGCGCTCAGGTTCAGGAGCAGCAGCAGACGCTCTGGGATTAGCACGATGGGGTAAGTGTTGGGGGCCTGGCTCAGCCGCGGCCACAGCAGTTGGGGCACAGGGGCCCTGACTCAGGCCCGGGCGTCTCCAGCCTGGGCTGAAGCCGGACCTCCCCACTGAAGAATCAGAGGGGCCCGTCCTCCTTCGAATGAAGAACTGAGAGGACCGGCCAGAACCCTGCTCTCAGCACCGGCTCTGCCCCGAGCCCCTGGGACTTTACCTAAAGCAGTTTTTGTCACCAAAGCCCCAAGGCCAGGTTTCTTGTACCCTAAATTAACACTCACTCTTCAGCTTCCTGCAGTCCAAGCCCTGTCTCACTCCAGCAGGGCACCGGCCTTAATTTTTAATGCTTTGTCCAAACCACTCAGGACATGCTGTTTTGAACTGGGGGTCTGGGAATGTGGCTTCGCTTGGCTGAAGAAGACTCAACTCATACTGTTTGTGAAGCAGTTAGCAGGTACCTGGCATGTGGTGAGTGCTCGATACATGCAGCCATTATTATTATTATTAATATTATTATTATTTCTATTTCCACCCGGAAATCAGCATTTTTAGTTCAAAATGGCGACCAGAACAAGGCTCTTGGGTCCCAAGTACCACGATCAAGCTGGGGGCCCAAGGGTGCAAGTTGGCTGGTGCCTGTCGGGGGCACTTTCCCTCCCAGCCTCAGCCCGTGGGGCCAAGTTTCGAAGCCGGCACACTCTGCTGATCACACAGGCGCTGGGCTTCTCCTGAAAAGTACGAAGTCCTGCATGGGAAGCTGGGTAGGAGGGGCCAGCAGCACGTCCCAGGGGAGGGTCGGGGTGGCTTGGTGCTGCTCCTCTGGGCTCCCGTCTTGCGAGCAGCTCACCAGGCGCTTCACTGTGGGCCAAGGACAGAGGGTGTCAGCGTTGTACCCTCCCCAGGCCAGGTTTAACTAAAGGTCCCCACGTCCCTGCACACTGTGTGCTAGGTCAGGGTTCCTTTAACAGAGTGCTGAGAAGAGCCAACACTTCGTATTAAGTTCTAAGTACTTTAAACACCTTCTAATATACACACATACGTGTTACATGTATGCATAGCATATAAATACATAATTTAGCCCTGGCTGATGTGGCTCAGTGGATTGAGCCAAAGTGTTGCTGGTTCGATTTCCAGTCAGGGCACATGCCTGGGTTGTGGGCTAGGTCCCCAGTGGGGGGCGCACAAGAGGCAACCACACATGGATGCTTCTCTCCCTCTTTCTCCCTCCCTTCCCTTCTCTCTAAAAATAAATAAATAAAGGTCTAAAAAAAACCCACCCAACATAATTTAGATGTCATTATAACATATAATAATAATATTTAATCAAATTTGAGCCTCCTCATAAACCTATGTGGCAGGTTCCCCTAACAGCCCCCTTTTTACAGATGAGGAACTGAAGCTCAAGGCACAGAGTCAGGAAGTAGGAGAACGGGGATCCACACCCGACAGAGCTGGGCTCCACAGTCTGTTATTATCACAATTAGTTCTGCTCAAAAAGAAATCTGTTTTATAAAAAGGAAGGGGACATTGTACCTGAAGTGTTACAATCCTGGGAAAATTTTAAGCACTAATACTAATGATGAGGATAATGAAATGTAAACGATCTGGGCTGTTTGTATTTATGGAGCCTTTTTAAAAAAAGTTTTTTAAAGAGGGGAAGTGAGGGAGAAAGAGAGGGAAACATCGATGTGTGGTTACCTCTTGAATGCCCCCTACTGGGGACCTGGCCCACAACCCAGGCGTGTGTCCTGACTGGGAATCGAACTGGCAACCCTTTGGTTTGCAGCTCACACTCAACCCACTGAGCCACACCAGCCAGGGCTGTATTTATGGAGTCTTATTCCACTGCGCCTGACACAGGGGGGCTCAGAGTCTATCTATAGCCCCTCCTATAACCTTTCCACCATTGGAGCAGGGACTTTCAGGACAGACAGGCCTGGGTTCAAATCCCGACTCCACCCCTTCCTCATGGAGCAGCCCCAGAACACTGTTCATTGGAACCCACTCCTGGGCTAGGTCGTTGTTATCATGCACATTCACATGCACGCGCATCCATGCAAGGGCATGTTCACCCGTGCACACTCCTCTGGGCATGGGAGTTCCTATCACACACATGCACACGAGTCCTGGCATGGTGGTCACACAGGTTCACATGCGTGAACAGGATCCCATGTGCCTGCCACTCCTCAGCACAGTGGCGGTGCCACATGCACGTACACACACGCACCCCCACACCCACGCCGGCGCACCTGCATGGCAGCCCTGCTGAGCGGCGTGTCCTCGGGGGGCCGGTGCTTGCCCTGGTGGGGGAACTCGGCGTTCTCGCGGTAGTCGCGGCCCTTGGAGTGCTGCAGGTGCAGGACTGCCGGGCTCTTGGCGGGGAGAGGGGGCCGTGGAGCCGGCGTGGGCGGGGCCTGCTGGCTCAGCTCCGACCTGGAAGGCTTGATGGGCCTCTTGGCTGGCACTGGGGCTTGGGCGGTGGCAGGGGCCTTGGGCTTCCCCTGGCTCTTGTCCCCAGTGGCCGGCCGGCCCTCGGCAGAGGTCGAGCAAGTGAAGGAGCGGAGCCGGGGCGTGGGGCTGACGAAGGGCGTGGGCACCGGCTTGCCTGTCCCCTTGCTGCCCTCGGCGTCCTGGGCTTTGGAGAGCAGGATGCTGGGCGACAAGGATCCTGTGTCTGGGCATGGCCGGGGCTCCTTCCTCAGCATTTTGGGAGATTCTTGCTCTCTCCTGGGAGCCGGCTTAGGGAAAGAACTCACAGACCCGTACAGCGGGTTCTCAAACATCTCGGGCTTGGCCAGCTCAGGCTCTTCCTGAGGCAAAGGTTCCGCTGCGTTCTTCCCCGCATCGCCAGGCCTGGAGTGAAAGAAAGAGGAGAAATTGAGGGGAGAGGAACCCATGGGAGCAGCTGCTTAGTGCCTCTGGGGTTTTCTTCGGGAGCGATAAAAATGTTTGGCCGTAGAGGGAGGCAGCGGTTGCACGACATTGTGAAGCACTGAATGCCACTGAATCGTTCACTTTCAAAGCGTTAATTTATATTACATGAGTTTCACCTCAATTAAAAACAAAATTAAAGATGAAAGGAAGAGGGACTGTGTGACTCCTATGTTGATGATCACATAGGTAACCTCCGCAGTCACTTGGACCTTTCCGCCGTAAAAAGTGCTCACAGGGAAGGGAGGGTTCACGCGGCACCGCCGATACCAAAACCAGCCCCATAGCCCTCGTCAGAGAAGCCTGCCCCCCTCAGCCGTGCCGCTCACTGCGGCTCTGGGCCTGCTGTCCCCGCGCCCAACCCCTGCCCCCCAAGAACCCCAGAGCCTCCCTCAGGGGAGCAGAAGCCTCGCAGGTGACCAGACATCCTCAGTCCCCGCCTGTGCTTCTGGAGGGCCCCAGGGGAAGGAGTTTCATTTAACAGACATGTAAAGAGGCGCTATGTGCTCCAGGCATAGGAGCCAGCCATGAACGGGACAAAATCTGGGCTCAGGGGACCATCATTCCTGATGGATATGGCGATCTCCCCGGCAGGACCCTGGTGACTGTGGTTTCTTCCCTGCCTTGCTCAGAGTGGGAAGGAAAAACCTGTGGTTGCGCTGTCAATACCAGGGAAGCAGGAGAGGGAAGAGGGCGGAGGGGGGCCCGCAGCGAGAAAGTGGGCCCGCAGCTGCCGAAGGGCTGGAGAGGGCGCGCCCCACGTGGGCCGCAGCGGGTGAGGGCCCCTCTGTCTGTCTCCTGCTTTCTCATGGCTCTTATTAGATAGAGGTGAGTTCCTGCTGAGCAACTGATGAGAACCAGGAATGGGAACACAATTAATTTACTTTCTGGCCCACGGCATAATCTCCCAAGGGAGTCTTCTGGGTCCTGCTTTCTGTGAAAAGGAGCCTGCCGTGAAGAAAATGTGGGTCCCTGGGAACCCGCTGACTGCCTCTCACCGATGGAACGTGTCCTGACACCCGCTCAAAGGTGCCGAGCAGCCAAGGCGAATGGGCTCTTCGGGGAGTAAGGAGTGGGCTGGGGGGACAGGGCAAGATGCACCCTTGGCAGGTGCCAATGAGACAGGATGGCATGGAGCGTCGGGGAGGCCAGCCTCAGGGACGTGCCAATGGGGCTTGACCGTAGACTCAGTTTTTGGGTCATTCCCCTTTGGAAAGACCTGGAGGCAGCTGGGTAATGAGGAACGTTGGAGCCTTGAAGGAAGGCTTTCAAAAGCTACCCCTCCACCTCAGGCCATCCTCCGTCCCCCCCGTCTGGACCCTCGAAGACATTTGCTATGAGTGAGCCCAGGGAGGAAGGGGCAGGAAGGCACAAGCAGCACCGACTGGAAGCTTCTAATGAAGAGGCAAGAAGGAGAAAAGAATAATGCGTGATCTGACCCCTGACAGCCACTTTCAGGGACTGAGATAGGAGGGGCGTTTGCCCCAGGGAATTAGGGGCAGGACGGGAACAGGGCCCTGCAGGTAATCCTTTCGGTCATTCCAAAGCTCAGTCCCCTGGGACAAGAGCAGCAAAAGCAGCAAGTCAAACTCTCCTTCTGGGAGGGGCTGCTGCCATTCTTCCAGGGGCGGAAGCTTGGTCGGAGCAGGGGATTCTGGGAAAACCACAAAAAATTTTTCTAAGTCTTATTTCCATGACCAAAGATAAAAGGAAACCGACTGCCATCATGGGCCCCGGCTGTGGAATAAGTGAGCCAATCCCAGGGCACAGGGCTAATCCCCACGGCAGGAGGGCTCCGCGTCTCAGGTCCCGGAGTCGGTTCTGGGGCTCTGGCCGGGGGCAGGGAAGCGCTCAGCAGGGGCTGAGAATCTTTCTAACCACATGGCTGTGGTCCAGGGTGAGCCGCTGTCCGGGTTGGCCCAGGACGTGAAGGTTTCCTGGGAAGTGGGATTCTTAGTGCAAAGAAGGGAACAGTTTGGGGCAAACTGGGAGGGCTGGTCATCCTACTAGGGTGCAGGGCCATAGTGGGGTGACATGGACGAGGCTGGTGACACCCCCTTTTCCACAGGCTTTGCTCAGGCAGAGCTGGGGCCTGCCGGCCTCCTGCCTCTAATCCCCTCTTTGGTGAGCAGTGAGCTTGTTAGAATGCCACCCAGGAGGCCCCTTGCCCACAGGTGTCCCCGTCCTCAAGCTGTCACCCGTGAAGCTGAAGGGAACACACTCCCCTGCCTGTTCCATACTGTGTGCTGTGTTCAACCGGTTAACCACAAAGATACGCTAACGTTGGGGAACTGAGAAACGTTTCACGTAAATCACCTCCTTGTTCTATGTGGCTGTTCACAGATCCGTTTCCTGGGCTGCCAAAGAGATGGCCTTTGCTAAAAAGGCCCCTTGGCACCCATCACGGTGGCTTTTGTCTTCATTTTTTTGAGGAGAGGAAACTGAGGCTGTTTTTCTTTCCTCCTAAATACCATCAGCAAACCCTGAAAGCCAGAGGCGCAGAGACAGCCACGGCGGAGCCCGGGGTGCGCCCCATTACTGGCCCTCCCCGGCCCCCTGCTGCCGGTCACATCCTCTATGCCTTCCTGCCTTCCATTCATCCATCCGTTCTTAATTTTGTTTTTTTTTTTTTTAGAGAAAAAGCTTGAGGAATGAAACTATAAACTACCTCTCAAAAAGGATGGAAGCGGGGAGACGCAGGGGGACGCTGTTGGACAGCACTCCCTTCCCTGGCTGCCAGGAGGCGACAGACAACACCGCTGAGCCAGAAGCGCTCATAGAAGGGGAGAGAGCGGCCCCCGAAGTCGTTAGGCACAGCGAGGACGGCTGCCTAGGAATTCCTGGACGGAGCTAACGTTCCTTCGCGCGTCTCCGCCTGTTGTTAACTGGGCCCCGCGCTTCTCATTTCCACCTGCCACCTGTGGTCACTAGAAACCTGCCGGGCTCCTGGAGGTGCTGACGAATGGCTCCGCTTGGTTCCGGTGCCTGTGTGGGAGGTGGCTGTGGCTTAGGCTCCTGCCTGGCCCGGGCTCCTCCCTGGCTCTCTCCTCCTGATACCTGCGGTTCTAGACGCAGGTCAGCTTTCTCTGACCTCCCGGCCTTTCCCGAAGGTTCGTGGCCCACGCGCCCCCCTCTGCAAGCCCTCACAGCAGAGCCAGGAAAGCTGCACGTGGGAACAGGCCTCTTGCAGCTGAGCAGAGAGAGGGGAACTTGCAGTGAGAGAGGGGCTTCTCCCTGGAAATTTCCCCCTCTGTTCCTCGGAGCCTCCTGGCAGTGGGAAGTGGCCTGAGGGCTCACTGGCTCTAGAAGTGTATTTTTCAGTAAGTGTAGTTTCAATACGGAGGAACTGTATTATGCTGCATATAATGTGCACTTCTTTGCCCAAATTTTTGAGAGGAAAATAAGGATGCACTTTATACATGGGTATAATGATTACATATTACAGGTATAATAAAGGGTATGATACAGCCCTGTGTATAATGCGCAAAAAAAAACATGGGTGTGTATCACACATGGCAAAATCTGGTATTTTTCTTGACAGTATCTTCAAAATTTTCTGTTTAAAAAATCTTTCACGTCACACTCACAGGGTAGGACTCCAAGTACTTCTCCAGGGCCTGCCGTGGTCCAGGCCCCGAGGGTGAGTCAGGGACTGAAGCGGACACACGCCCCTGCCCTCTTGCAGCCGCCATCCTGGGGCCGGGTCCCCAACAGCGAGGTCCCCGGGAAGGGAGAGCCCTTGGCGGAGGGCGTGCTCACCTGGATTCCTGTGTCCTGGGACAGGGACCGCGGGTCGAGGAGGAGGACGAAAACTTCTTGGGCGATACGGGCGGCTGCGAGGGCGGCGTCGGAGGGCTCTCCCCCCTCCCGGGTCCCAGGGAGGGGTCCTTGAGCGGCTGGTCGTAGCTCCAGGCTGTGGGCTGCTGGTCGGGGGATGGTGCCTGCTTCATGTGCCCCAAGGACCCCATGCCAATGTAATTGGGGTTGATGATTTCAGTGATGTTGGAGCCACCGCAGTGAGGGACCCTGTGGGAGAGACACGTGAAGCCCTACGTCAGGTCTCCCGTCCCGCCGCTGGGTCAGGCCCCGCCGAGGACGGTGTCTTCGGATGCTCCTCGGGCCGCTCAGGACCTCGTCCACGCCCTCACCGCGGGGGTGGTGGATCCGCCCGGCCATGTGCCCAGTCGTTCACGCAGCACTACGGCTTCAGGCCAGGGAGCACCAGGCCCCGGGCCTGGCAGAAGGAGCACAGCCGGGAAGGAGGCAGCTGCTGTCCCCGCCTCGTGCAGGTCAGGTCTGGTGGAGGAGGCCGGCAGAACCGGCTCATGGACAACATGCGCGGGTGAAGTCTGACCGAGAGCCACAAAAGCGGCCCAGCTGGACTGGCAGGGCGTCGGGGAAGGCCTGCCAGAGGAGGCAGGTAGGAAGGATGGGGGGCCTCGGCCCTGAGGGCAAGGGGCTTGACTGCTCCAGGAACCGTCAGAGGGCCCGCAAGCCAGTGGGCAGAGTGGAGCGAGCCGCTGTTGCGGCCGGCGGGGCAGAGTGGCCGTGCGGGAGGGCAGGCGGGGGCGGAGGTAAATGGGGAGTCCCCCCACCCCCAAGACATGTCGGCGTGCACATGTGTGTGAGTCATGGGAATGGAAATGGCTACGTGGGCATTTGGAGATGAGGCCGCAAAGGTCGAGGCTGGAGCCTTGCACACTGGGGGTCCCCGTAAAGCTGCTGAGCAGACAGCCCAGGCGAGGTGACCCGAGACGCCAACTCTGCGATGACTTTTGGGGACAGAAGCGTTGTCCTTTTTTGTTAGACGGTGCTGTCATGAGGACGAACCGGCAGAGTTGTAAGCACACAGGTTATGACGCACGCTCCTGGCTCCCACCTGCTCGGCCAGCCTGGTTCACCGCCCGCGCGGGCAGTGTTCACACTCATACCAGTAAAAAGGAAAAAAAAACTCAGAGCTACACGGATCCAGACTCTGGAGCCAAGCACAGACGCGAGAGCCACGGTGCTTTCGTTGATTGGATAATAGTGGGAGAAAAGGATTGAGAGGGGATTCTTAGCACCCGTGGCCGCAGCCATCGGAAGTTGGAAGCAGATGAGGGGATGATCTGGAGAGGCGAGCTCCTGTGTTCCCAGGGGTGGGTGGGCATCGGGGACAGCCCGACGGATGGGCAGGCGGGGCGGGGGGACCATAGCAGCACAGCACACTGGGCTCTGCAGCAGCTTTTGGGCTTTTCACTCAGCTAATGACACAGCTTTGTCCCCTCGGCGGGTGAGCAGGCGCAGAAGCCTTTGCTGGCTTCATTCTGGGACCTGAGACCCTATCGGAGCTGAGGTGACTCTGTTCTTGGGCCCTCCTATAACGTCTGATCAGTGCCAGCCCGGCCTCTGCCAAGAGCGACCTGTGCGTATTCCCCCACCCCGCTCTGCATGATTTCTCCCCTTCGGGGTTTGCTGGCCCCAAGACTGCCGGTGTCGCCTGTCCTGGCTGCCTGGGAGGCCCGGCAACCATTCCAGGCAGCCATCTCGGCAGGTGCCTTCTCCCAGATGGGACATGTGTCCTAGGCTGTGTGTCCCTAAGTCAAGGACAGTACCTCATTTGCCTTGGTTTCTCCAGAACCTGTCACATAGTAAGTGCTCAACCCAAGTCTGTTGAATGGAACTAAAGTTTCCAACACAGAGGAGTCTCCCTGGCCTGGTCACAGTCACACCAATGCTCCCAGAGCCGCGGGTTTGTGGTCCGAAGCCTTGGAGCTGAAAGCAGGACAGCGCCTCTCTCCCCGCTGGGTCCTCGGGTTCTCCGCGCTCCACTTGCCCTCCCCCTGCAAGGCTAGCTCTGCGGTGAAGCCCGGCAACCCCCCCTCTACCTGTTGGCAGACTCCCACTGCTTCATGGGGTCGTGGCTGGTGAAGCTCTTCAGAGACTTGGGCCCGCTGGCCTCATCCCGCTCAGTCTTCACGAAGTCTGCAGGGAGAGGGGGCCGGGAAAGTGCACGTGAGGGCCCAGCATGCAGAGTCTCGGCCTGGAGGGCAGAGGTCTCTAGAGACTAGCCGGAGCCGAGCGGCGGACACCGTCTGCCTGGGGAGGCGGGCTAAGCTGAATTCTGAGGCCTCATGCAAATTCAGTGATTGATTAGTTCTGCCTGCCACGGCTCCAGAGGAAGGAGAATTGGCACGTGTGACCCAGAGGGGTCATTTCATGTGACACTTCCAACTTTTGTCTACTGTCTGCAAGGGACAAAACAGACCAATTGTTCCTGGCAGATCCTAACAAAACAAACATCTATAACAAGGTGGCTCCCCCAGAGCTCCCAGTGCCTGAGGCAACCCCCTTCCCCTTGGGCTTAAAGGGCAACTGGGACCCGTCTTCATTTCTGACGCTGCAGTGTGGTCGTGGAGGTCTCCTCGCTCCGGCCCACAGTCCCGCTAGAGACAGCTGCTCCCACAGGGCAGAGGGGGGCCCTGCCCATGGGAGGCAGTGCCCCGATGGCCCAGCGCCCTCCAAGGAGCACTGGGTGCCAGACAGTCCACAGGCAGGGAGCCCGGCTGCCTCACCGCCACGTGAGGCAGGGCCCAACACATTTACAAATCCTGCTGAGCATGGGCGAACCTGCCCTTCACCTTCGGTGGCTCACTCTGAATGACCTTTCGCCAAGCACTGGACCTCTTTGTGCCTCCATTTCCCCATCTACCAAACAAGGGTGATACCTGGCTCTCAGACGGGGAGCTCAACAGCTTTGCTGAGAGGAACCTCACTCCCGTTCCTAACCCTGCGGCGCTAAAGAGGGCCTGGGGTGGGGGGCGGCGGGGAGGGAGAGGTTTTAGCGCCTGCGGCGCTAAAGAGGGCCTGGGGTGGGGGGGCTGACACTTACCGTACAGCTTCTCCCTCATCTTGCCCTGGGAGGTCTGCAGCTTGATCTCCCCCTGGAAGTGGCCCGTCATCTCTCCGTGGTGGGTGAGAGGCGTGTAGATGGGGAGCTCGGTTTCCGTGGCCTCTAACCGTAGAGCGATGCAGCCCTCGCCTGGGGACGGGGACGGGACACCCGTCAGGCCAAGGCTCCACCGTTTCACGGGGCAAGCACTGTGGATTTGGCCTGGAGAGTTAGCTCTACCAGCAAAGGCGGTCCTTCAAAACAATGGCCGAGGCAGGGACCTTCGAAAAATCCTGCAGAATAGCACCTCCGCAATCTGGGGAAAATGTCTCAAAATTTACACTGACTAACTCGATGTAGATTAACGGATGTGAAAAAAAATGAAATCATAGAAAATCCAGCAGAAAAACAATTAAATATCAGTCTGATGGCTGGAAGGAATGACAGTTTTCCAAGGTTTGACACTGTCAGAAATGACAAAATAAGACTGACAGATAAGAAGATATAAAAGTTTAAAACTTTTACACAGAGGGGAAAAAAAAAGAGAGAAAATGAGAAGATTGACTGGGACCATTCACTGAAGTCAGCTTCACAAAGCAGGATTTTATGTGAACTCACGAGGAACTCCTCAAAATTAAATCCTCAGCAGACAAATAGGCAGAGAACCCAAACAGTCATTTCACACGAAAGACTTGTAGCTGGTTAATTTCAATAAATGGAAACTCATTCAGCCTTGTAAGGCATCAAAGACGCCTGTGAAGGCAGCACAAAGGGACCCTCGCAGACGTGAACTCGGCTCAAAATAGGAGGAAGGACGAGACGCCCGGTGCCAGCCAGGCTCAGGGAAACTAGTGCCCTGGGACATGACAAGGTCCACATGGTGACACAGAGCCTTCCTAGCAATTGGCTTGATAACAAGGGCCGAGAAGCACAAACATGCCTGCACCCTTTGACCGGTAAATGTGGGGATTCACTCTGAAGAGACAGTCCAAAGGAATAAAATAAAAAGATGTAGCTTCCGGAGAGTAAAAAATGCCCCCAGAGAGATCCATATCAGTGTCATTGAAAACACTAACACATATAACTGGCAGTAACAGTAATAAAGGTGACTTTAAAAAAATGAGGAGACAGCCCCGGCTGGTGTGGCTCAGTGGAGTGAGCGCTGGCCTGCGAACCAAAGAGTTGCCTGTTTGATTCCCAGTCAGGGCACAGGCCTGGGTTGCGGGGCTGGTCCCTGGTAGGGGGTGCACGAGAGGCAACAACACATTGATGTTTCTCTCCCTCTCTTTCTCCTTCTCTTCCCCTCTCTAAAAGATAAATAAATAAAATCTTTTTAAAAAGAAATGAGGAGTCAGTAAATCCAGAGAATATTATGAAGCCATGAAAAAGCAACAATCACAAAGACCATGGAAGAAGATCATGGAAAATGGGTCTTATCTAATACAAAGTAAGGAAAGCAGAATATAAATGGTACCTCTGTGATGATTAGAAATGTAGAAATTTACATATGTATGTATGAGGGTGCAAGTTTGAAGCCAAAATAAAAGGATTGCAGCAGAGGGGAATGAGGCTGCTGGTAGATTCTTTCTTTGTTATTACAATGTGTATTTGGGACGATGCATATCAAGAAGAGGAAAAAAAGGAAGAATACAGTATTTGATCAAGAAAATGGAACAGTCAGAGCCAAGTTCCCGTTTTCTGGCACCAAAACTTCAAACATTCCGGCACCCACAAGGATCCTTTCTCTTCACCCCGTTGCGACAGACGGGAGATTCGGGTCCAGAGCCAGGACACCCCGGGCTCTGCCGTCCCTGCCCTGGCTCGGGGATCCTCTTTCCAGTGCTGGGCTGGGAAGGGGTGAAAGGCATGATTCCAGAGCTGGGCTGCCTGAGTTCGAGTTCAAGGTCACACAGTAGCTTTTCAAAGCCACTCAGTAGCTACACGACCTTGAACAAGACACTTCATGTCCTTACCTTGCAATAAGGGTAGAGTTGTCCCTACATCCCAGAGCTTTGGCCGAGTCTGCACAGTGGGCGACCCGCACCCACGGGCACTTTTGTGACTATGCCTCTTTCTGTGTCCTGCCTTCCTCCATTAGCACTGAGCACCTTCAAATGCCTCCCGCCGAAAACAAGGCCCTCCCGGCCCCGGTCTGCATGCCCACCTGCCTCATGCCCCTGCTTCCTCACCGCCGCTCCCCCCAGCTGCGTCCCCCGCCCCCGGCCCCGAACAGCGCCTCACCGCGGCCGCGGGGGCGCCCGAGCCACTCTGTCTGAGGGACGCTGCTGGGTTTGTATTTTGCTGGATCTCTCGGGCACTCCTGAGACTGTAGCCGTGCCTTCTCTCAAACCAGCTCTGATGGGGTCCCTGACGCCCCAGCCTCTGGGTGTCCTTTCACTTCTCTGGCTGTGCTTGTCGGCCCCCGGTGCCCGTCCCTCACCCCCGCTGACCGGGGTCGGGAAACAGGGACACTGGCCCAGCCCCTCGAACCAGAAGTGCAGGGCCGTCCTCGACACCCCGCTTTCCGCAGTTCCCAAAGCCCAACCGCTTCCCCTCTTACTGCCTCCCAGGCTCCTCCTGTCCCTCCGTCGTCACTGTCGCTGGTGTCACTCTGGGCCCCTAGCTCTCCCCTCGATCCTTGCAAACTCACATGTTTGTAAGAGGGGAAGCGGATCACGTGACTGTTGCTTGAGCCTTCGATGGCTCCCTACTGCCCCCGGGCTCAGGCGTCTGCCCCTAGCCTGGCCCGTACGGAGCTGCTCAGTCAGGCACCTGCCTCCAGCCCTTCTCTGGTCACCCACCCCTCCGTCCGTGCCGGGGACACGCCGAACGGGCCAAGAGCGAGGGTGAGCCCGACATTGGGCTGGAGCTACGGACGGGCTGAAGGCGTCACAGAAGGTGGCAGCTCTAGCAGGAGAGCTGGCGGGGCCGTCGGCCTGAGCACTCACTGAACAATGCTGGGCAGACCTGGGTTCAAACAAGGGCTCGGCCTGTTCCTGCCCGGGTGACCGGGGCAAGTCCCTTACCATCTCTGAGCCTCAGTTTTCTCGCCTACGAATCGGGAGGACAGTGCCTGCTTCAGAAGGTCTTGTCAGAATAAAATTTTTAAATGTTTGCCAAGCACCCTGCATGGAATCTGACACAGGAAAGTCTCTGTAAGTGGGAGAGGCTGTGGCCGGTGGCTGGTGGCTGTTGCTGCCGGAAGCCCGATGGGGCAGGAAGGATGTCTTACCAGTGACTGTCCCCTGGCAGCCCTGGCTTGGGGAAAGGAGCGGCAGGAGAGTGGGGCGGGGAACGCCAGGTGGGCTTTCTATGACGGAAATGCCACCGCCTCCTTACCTCAGAGGCCACCAGAGAACAGCAGGCGTGGCACCCGTGGGAGCCTTACCGTAGGACTCGTCACTGTCGGAGGATTTAATGCTAATCAGGATGTGCTGGTCCAGCAGGTACTCGGGGTCAGAAATAATGGGCTTCAGCTGCAAAGAGAAGGGCATGGGGTTAGAAGGGACAGGTCAGGGACAGGCAGGTAAGGGTCGTCGGCCCAGAGGAGGGGAGTGCTGGAGAGAGCAGGCCGGTACACGTTGTCCTGAAATGCATTTGAATCTCTGCTCTTCATGCCCAGAGAGCAGGAAGGAACCCATGGGTCCTCCACACCTGCCAAGGCGAAGATGGGCCTACCTTCCTCTCCTGTCCATTCCCATCACACACTGACCATTCCCGCACCGCAGGCCCTGGGGCCGGCCGCAGGTAGGCTGCACCTTCACTGACCAGGATGCCGGTGAACATGAACCCCGCCTCGGGACGTCCGACGGCGATGCCCGCCTCGTGGAGGCCCCCCGTCAGAGTGCCCCTGAATCAGGGGACTGTGGTCCGGGAGCCGGCCTCTGCTTCTGAGAGGACATGGTCTTCGTGTGCGTGGCCCGAAAGCTGGTGCCAGTCACCGGTGGGTGCCAGTGTGGGTGACCCAGCCCCCTGAAACCTGCCTACACCCCACCCCTGCCTTGGGAGAGGACAGGTCCCTCCAGCCGTGAGAGGCCATCCTCCAAAACTCATCTCAGCTGTCACCTCTGAGAGAACCTTGCGGGAGAGGCCCTGAGAGACCGCCCCATGTGACAGATCATCTCAGCCTTGTGCCTCTGTGCCACCTCCCTCGTTATGTGACAGGTCCTACTCCACTGTGCACCCAGCACACATATCAGACATGTTCACCATGAACGGAACATCCCAGGACAGTCCTGGGTCCCAGGGAGAAAACCATGCTTTTCCACGCAGTAAGGACAAATGTGTTCCCACTAAGTTTTGCTTGTACACTTTAAATTATAACCCTCTGCTCTCGCGGGCTACGGTCCCCGCAAGTTCTCTCAGTGTTCAGTCTGTATAGGAGCCAATGGCCTCCTCTCTATTACTGCACTTGACCCTCGAGCCCGAGCTGACCAGGCAAAGGAGCACTCACTGCTGGGGAATTGGGACCTTGGGGCACAGGTCCTGGGTCTGTCACTGAAGTTGTATGGCCGTGAAGAAACCTCTCTGGGATCTGTCTCAGTCTCCTCCTTTGTAATGTCACATGGTTGGCCAGGGTGACCAGTATATCCCTCCCAGAATCCCTTACGGGAATTGAAATCCATTTAAAAACATTGGGGCCACTGGACATAAGCTCATGTTTAACCATCGCTGAAAAGCGCACCACAAACCACCTCAGAAGAGAGCCAGCCAGGAGCGCAGGCCGGCCTGCGGTGGCCTCCTCCACACTTGGCGCTGGGGACGCCCGCGCCCTCGGCTCGGGTCTGGCTGCATCTGTCACTGCCCAGCACAGCTGGCCGGGCAGCTGCAAGGCCCTCCCTGGGGATGGCCTGGTCTTGAATTACCTTCGGAAGAGTCTCACCAAACTTCACCACCAGCTCCCCTTCGCTTCCTTCTTCATTTTCTCCTTCCTGACTCTTGACAAAACCTGTCAGAGGACAAGCAGGCTGGTTTTCAGAGCGCAGACGCCCAGGGCCGGCCAACCCGTACTGTCCTGCCTCTTCCACCGGCGGGGGCCACGGCGCCGTTTGGGGGGACGGGCTTGTTGGGGATTCTGTTTTGGTGCAGGGGATGGTCATTTGCCAACAGGGTCTATTTACTTTTAGGAAAATCAGATTTCTCTCCTTTCAGGCTCCTCTTCGCAACAAAGCGGGCGGCAAAGAAATCATAGCTTCGCAGGGAAGGAGATTAGGAAACTTGACAGCTCTCCCACGCCACTCAAGATAGCAGCCTTTTGAAATGCTAATTTAAGCTTCCTAATATGCTGTTTCCATAGAAATGTATGCAAATGTCTCAATAATTTATTAAAAACACCCACATAAAAAGTTCTCATCGTTTTTGGAAGCACTGTGCCCCTGCTTGGTGAACTGGGACCTGGCGGCTTCCTGGCGACGCAGAGAGGGTGGGTCTTCCACCAGGACTTGGCCCAAGTGAATCCGAGAAGGGAGGGGGCGGGGCAGCACTGAAGCTGGGGGCGCAGGTCTTCTTCCTGATTTCTGGAAACGTCTGGAAACCTCGATCATCCCGTCACCTCCTCTCGTGGAGGTGATCCTGCCCCCCAACCCCACTACCACCTCCCCTGCCTGGACCATCTCAGCAAGAAGAGCTAGAAACCTCACAGGTCTGCCCACACGGAAGAGCCTCAGACACCACGCCTGCAAGCATCGCCTAGAAGGGGTGTTCTGCGCTAACTGCCGCTGGCTGGCAGAGGCAGGGCTCCCCTCCAGCTTGCTCTTGAGCCTCCAGGCCCCCGGGACAGCTGCCCATGGAGCGGGAAGAGCAGAGGGCCCCACGGAGGAGTGGGCGGCTCAGGGCCTGGTGTTGCCCCAGCAGCTCGGGACTTTGCCCAGGAACCTCTGGCTCCAGCAGAGCCTGGCCCAGGGGGAACCTCGAGTGGGCTACACTCCGCCCTGCAGGGCGAGGAAAGGATCCAGCTGCCCAGTTGCCTACAAGGGGTTGAGAGGTCACTGCCTGAGAGCCTGCCCTGTCCCTGGAGGGGCAGCATCGCAGACCACTAGGCAACCCCACACCCCCTGGTACCCTCCGCCTGTGACCCCGCTTCTCTGACCCCCACTTTGTGGTGTATCCATGAGCCCTTCCCAGAGAGGCAAAATGGGGCAAAGCGCCATGAGTGCAGAGGCACCCGTGAGGCAGAGCCGGGCCCGCCGCGACCGGAAGGAAGCCTGGCCAGCCCTTACTCTCCAAGCAGCTCGAGTGGAACTCCAGGTAGAACTTGGTCTGGGACTTGGTCTTCAGGGTGGCGAAGCATCTGAGGAACTCGATCTGCCCCTGGCTGTCAACAGTCCCCGGGCCTGGAACGGGAGACGCCAGAGATCCGGGTCCACCGTGTGCCCGGAGGTGGAGCCCTGCAAACCAGCCCCCCGGCACGGGGCTGCCCCCAGGGTCCAGGGGAGGGGAGAGTCCGGGGAAGAGAGGTGGGGCTTCAGGAAGAAGTCCCACCACCCTCACTGAGCACCGCAGCCCCGGGGGGGATGGGGGTGGCCCGGCGACCAGGGCGGAGCGGGGTCATTTGAAAAATTGCCTGTAAATCCGAGTATTCGTTGCCCTAGCGTTTCCCCAAGCTCAGTCACCTGCCTTCCATCTTCACATGTTTTACCTTCTCTGCCTACCACGCCCCTGCGCTAAGAGGGACTTATGTTTTCTTTAGACTCCCTTTTTTAACTTTAATAAATGCATTTAAGAACGAACCACAAGACTAAATGGGAAATCAGTGTTGCTTGCTTTACACAGAAGAGACAAACTCAAAACATAGTAAAATAAATGGATTACTAATGAATGGTCACCCAAGTCCCACCCAGAAGGTTCTCTGGTGGCAGACGTGCCCCACCTTAGAAAACATTCATTTACCCCATTTTAAAGACTGTATTAAAAGCGAGGCTTAACAAGCCGACGTATTTGCCACAGAGGAGGAGGAGCCCGGCCTGAACTCCTGACGCGGCTCGGCCATGGACGTGCCGCAGGAAGCGCTCGTGCAGACGACTGACCGCTGTGACCAGAGGGCAATGCCCGAGGTCCCCTGTCTCTGTGGACAATGGAGGGACAGACACTGCCCACCACTTACCGTTTTTGGAGACAAACTGGGAGGTGACTCCTGCCTCAAAAGTGGCAAAAACAGGGCTGTGGTCGCTCGTCATGATGTCGCTGGTGCTGCCTGCAGGGAGGGAAGGCGTCTCTGAGCCGGGGAGGGGGAGGCCTTCGGGTCAGCCCCAGGGGGGCGCGCCCCAGCAGAAACCGCTCGCGCTCACGGAAGCCTCCGGGAGCTGTGCGCTGGTGCTTCCACTGACCTCCCTCAGCCACGTCCAAAAGGACCGGTGACAGTGGTTGACACTGCCCGCTCCGTGGCCAAAATGTGCCTGTGCTCCTTTTCCCTGAAGAAGACTCACACACTTTAACGTTGATCAGGGAGTGCGCGCTGCGGAGATTGTTTGGTATGAGCACTCTGCTGTATTGATGAGAGAGGCTCACAGCCAAGAGCAGCGTGGGGATTTGAGGTCACCAAGCTCAGCAGCAAGAGAGATGGCACCTTCCCCCGGCCCATAGTGACTTGCAGGATCAGGGGAGAGTGGAGGTGACCAAGTGTAGAAACTGAGGGTGCCCAACTCTATCAAGAAGCTTGGGGCTTGAATGGAAGGGAAGGCAGCCGAGCACATTTGGAGCAGATAACGGAAAGAACACAGTTCTAGAAATACGAAGTTCTAAGGACTTTCGATACAGCCCTGTGGCGGCGCCTGGCTGGGGACTCGGGGCGGAAGGTTTATCTGTAGAACAGAGGCAGGAAGTTAGGGGGAGCAGGACCGCGAGGCTGCGCGCACTCTGCAGGGGAGGCAGGAGGAGGAGAAGAGACGAGGGGGAAGCTCCAGGGAAAACAGTGCAGGAGACCAAGAAGGCAAAAGAAGAGAGTTCTGTCCTTTTCTATAAAGCTTTTGCAGATCAGCAAGGAAAAGAGAAACATCCCACCCCTCAGCCAACCAGAGGCCATGGGCAGAAAAACCACAAACACAATGCAGAGGGGAACGACCAGCAGGAAAACAAATTGAAACAGTCAGATAGAAGGGGGACAAGGAGGTGGGACAGGGAATGAGAAGCAGAAAGGGAAAGAGACGCGAGTGGGGTCATTGGTACCGGGGAGAAGGAGGGAATCGAGTCAGGACCCAGGGAAAGAGCCCGCCCAGGAAGGAGGAGGGGGAGGACACCCCCTCTCGGAGACAGGAGGGGAGAGGGCAGGGGGCCCCCCTCCTAGGACACGTTCAGACGGACAGGAGGAGCTCAGCGAGGGTCCGGTGCCGTGTGGAGCCGCAGGGGAGGGCAGGAGGGGTTCGGCTGCGTGCGGGGTTGCCCGCGCGTGGCAGCCACAGAAGAAGGGGTGTCCCAGTGAGAAGTTACGGGCCAGACAAGCAGCATTTTAAAAAAATGTTCTTTAACCCCTTTTCAAAGCACTCATTGGGCCTTTCCCTAATGACCCACTGAGCAGAAAGGGCAAAGTAAAAACACCGCTTTTGGGTGAAGTGGCAGCATGTTGTGTTGTTTCGCTTCAATCAGGGGTGTGACAATGTGTTCCGGAAAAAAATAAAAATGTTCTTTAACATATTTTAGAGAGTGTTGACGTAATAGCACTGACTATGCCCTGGGGCTCAGGGGGGTCCTGCAGCCACGACCTGTGCCTCCCCAGGCACCGTAACTCTGGGCTTGGCCATGGACTTCCTTTGGTCAGCGGGATGTTAGCAAATGCGAGGCAAGCAGAGACTTAGAAGAAAGCCCTTCCGCAGCTAGGACATGCAGCCGGGAGCCCTCGGACCAGGAAGAAGCAGCCTGGACTAGCCTTCTGGGCGCAGCGTGACTCTCGGCGGAATGACCACCCCCGCCCCACTGACAGCCAGCCAACCGCAGATCCGAGTGGGCCCCAGGCCTGGGTGCGCCCAGATGACACCAGACAGAGCAGAGCTGAGCCCCCTAAGCTCAGCCCAGAGCATCGTAAAACACCACCGAGTTTTAGGGCAGTTTGTTAGGCAGCAGTAGCTAACAGATACATTCTCTTTATCATCCGGGGACTGAAACTCCCAGTTGATCCCCCATTGTCTCAGCTCTGGACGTTCATTCCTTTTCTTTCCCAATTTCTTGCTCACTTGCAGGTCGCTAAACCCTTCTACTGGGCCCTCCAGCATTCCGTGGAATAACGTTAGCAAAGCTCCCTACACCTTCAACTCCCCCTCCCGCTTCTGCCTGCCTTCAGCGGCCCCAGGGGAGTTGCTGCTCTGATCCCTCTGGACTGCAGGAGCCAGGCATCACAGAGAGCAAAGAAAACCAGCGCCACTGTCACGGACCTGAGTTAACGTGGGATTTGCTGATCCCCAGAGAAGGGGTGCGGGCCACGAAGGTGGCCCTTGGGCAGCAGCAGGGTGGGGCAGGCCGGGGGGTCATAGCAGCCTGTCAGGGGTCCCTGGCCTGTGACGGGGCCTCATGAGGGGCATGCTGGGCCAAGCATGGCCCTCCTTTGGGTGTCACCGTCTGGGAATAAGAGAGCCAAGGGATTCTGCCCTATGAGTGTTTAAGCGCACAGAGCAGAGTGGTTCCTGAGAGCAAGGCCCTTCTGGATACGCACTCAAGCAGGTGAGAATTCCTTCAGCACACCTTAAACTCCCAGGGTCCGTAACTGCTTCACCATTTTGGTAATTTTCCCACACTTCAGTACTATAAAATTGCTTATTATGCCTATTTATTCAATGGAACTCAATTTGTCCTTAAATCTCCCCAGACACGTGTATGTATACTATGATATGTATTAGGTGGAACCACATACATTTCCAATATTTGAGTATTTTTGGCCCCCCAAAAACACCGCTTCACTATAGTGCTAACCCAACATGCTCTTTATAAAAGAAATAAAGCTGCCTTTCTTCTGAAAAGTGCTCCATACTTCAAAGGTTGCCCAAACCAGGAGATATATTGCCACCCAAGACGGGAGAGGATACGTCCACTTCTTCGGGGGGCCTGACTAGGGCTGCGGGGAGCTGCCCTGTCCTACAGGCGGAGGGACCTGCAGTTGAGGACAGCGGGACCCGCCAGCAGGCCACTCACCGTAGGACTGGCACACCACATGCACCAGGGGGTAGGACTTCCAGAGGACGCGGTCGCACCAGGACGGCAGGTTGTACTTCATCTGCAAATCAAAGTCACAAGCTTTATAAAATGCCTGCAACTTTCAAAGAATATATATCAGTAAACGAAGAGATGACTGTGTGGCCTTCGCAACCCTTGGATTCGTCTGCTGTTGCCCCACAGGTGGCTCCACACCCGCTTCGCTTGCCTCCGGTCCCCACGTTCGGACCCCTGGACTCCTGCTTTGGGCCAAGACTGACCCACCCACCCTGCTCCCTCACGTTCCTCCTCCTCATTTCAGAATCTCCTGTACGTCTACATTCTTTCCCCTTTTTCTAACTCAGATGGAACTCTCTACCTGTGTTTTCAACCCAGGCTCTGCTTATCTTCTCCAGCTACTTACGTTAGTAACATACACCAGCCATCACACCTGGCCCGCCCATGCACACAGCCAGCCATCTGTCTACTTATCCAGCCGCCTGCCCAGCCACCCGCCCATCATCCACCCATCGTCCCAATTACTTAACTATCCACCCACCCACTCACCCACTCATCCATCCACCCACTCATCCATCCACCCAGCCAATCATGCAAACGATGTGCACTAAGACAAGCCCTCTCTGGGCTCTACGGGTGAGCAAGACTTCCGCTGGGCATAATAAACAAAGCGACCTGGCCGTGGCGATGAGTCCCCTTAATCAATATCCTTACCTCCTAAAGTTCTAGTGCCTTCTCCTCTGCTTGCAAATGTAACAACTCATCCTAAAAGAGCCCGTCTCTGCCATCTCCTCCAATTATTTTTTTTCCTTCTCTTTGGCAATTTTCTTTCAAGAATGTCCTATTTTTGCCTTTGCTTCTGGAGTGCCCATTTATTTTTTTTTAACTTGAAGTACAACTTACATACAGTAAAGGGTACTCATCTTAAATGTATAGCCTGAGGAGGCTTTACAGTAGTACACACCCATTTAACCACTGCCCGGCTCAACACTTAGAAAGTTTCCACCATTACAAAAGTTTTTCTGTCCCTTCCTTGTCAATGCCCTCACCTCTTTGTGGCGAACTCTGTGGTGACTAATGTCTCCAATGATTCATTTTGCCCGCTCTTGAACTTATAAATGGACTCATCCAGTGTACAGTTGACCCCTGAACAACACAGATTTGAACTGTGGGGGCCACTTACACGCAGATTTTTTTCACTGAATACATACAGTACTAGAAATATATTTTCCTTTTCCTTTGGTTTTCTTGATAACATTTTCTTTTCTCTAGCTGAGTTTATTGGCAGCATACAGTATATGATACAAAATACGTGTTAATCCACTGTTTGTGTTATCTGTAAGGATTCTGGTCAACAGCAGGCTATTACGGGCTAAGTTTTTAGGGAGTCAAAAGTTACATGTGGATTTTCTACCACACGTGTGTTGTTCAGAGGTCAATTGTATATTCTCTCCCTGGCTTCTTTCACTCACGCAGTCGCTTACAGGAGTTCTTTCACGTTATCGCTGGGGTTGCAGTGCATTGCATGTATATACCACATCTGTCTGTTTTCCTCTTGATGGAAGTAGGACTGTTTTCAGTTTGGGACATTGAAAACAAAGTTATTAAGCCATTCTTGGATTTGTCTTTTGGGGAACACATTTTTCTGGGGTGCACACCAAAGTGGAACTCCTGAATCACGGGGGAGGTGTAATTTCATGGGGCAGCTGCTGCCAAAATGCCCTTTGTAACCTGGCCGTTCCCAGCGCTGGCCGCCTCCGAGAGCTACAGGGGTGCGGAACGCAGGGCCCTCCTCCAGAGCTACTGCCTCAGAGACTGTGGGGACAAGTGCCCGACTCCTGTGCGCCTGAAAAACGGCACCAATGACTCATCCGCTCAGCGCTGGTGAAGAGCGCCCTGTCCTCCCGCAGCCTGGCTTGCACCTCTGAGGCTCCGCGCGCCCTGCTCTTTGAAAGGCCACCGGCACCTTGGAGCGGCAAGCCCAGCTCCTTGTGCTGGGTTCACGTGGACGACGCTCACTCTCGACTCACACGTCATACGGGCTGCCAGCCATGCAGTCTCTCACCCTGGTTTCCGTGCGGCTGAGCTGCCTTGTTGGTCTTCCCACCTAAGTGAGCAAACTTCTATCTCCTCTGTCATCTCTGCTTCTTCCGCTCATCTCTGAACATTAGAGGGCCCCCAAATCTGTCCCTCGCTCTTCTCGACTCATCTTCCACTCACTCCTCATCTCCTCGGGGCCGGCAACTCCCCGGCCTGCGGCTCAGCCCTGGCATCTCTCCCTGGCATCAGCCTAATATTTTAACTGTTCCCTCGGGTGTTGTCTGAGGTTTCCCACCAGCATGATAACCTAAGTCTGAAAATAAGCCCAATTTTTTCCCTCCGAGCCAGCTCTGCCTTCTGATTCTCCAGCTTTTAATCAATGGCCATCGGATTGATCAACAATAACCTGCTTTTCTCCTTTTCTTTTACTTTCATTGTTGTTTTTGTAGATTCAGACCCTAGTTATTTCTCAGCTGGACCCACTGGCCTCTCCTCACAGGCCCCCTGTGCCATCCTCCCCCTCCAGGGAGGCAGACTAGGCTGCCCTGCGCATCTCCCTGACGCTGCCAGCCCTTCCGCAGGGTGGCGGCTGGCCGTCTGGCACCCATCGCAAAGGTTCAAACTTTAACCTGAGGTATTTGCAATCTTGTTCCACAGCACAGGTCATCGGTTTTGGCTCAAATAAACTCTTATAAACATTCAAAACCAAAACAAATGAACAAAACCCTTCATTTGGCACTTAGGACTTCCCCCTCTCCTCAAGCCAAAGCAGATCACCCCCTCAACAGCCCCAAATGTGTTCCCCTGAACCTGCCGCACAGCAGCACGTGGACACCTCACAAGAAGGAGTCCTGTCCTGATGCGGAGGTGTCCTGCCCTTGGAGGGGGTGTCTCGCCCTGGCAGGTCTCAGCCTTGCTCAAGGCGGTCCTGGATCTTCTTTCTTTTTCTCGGTAACTCCTGCTCTGTTCTGGCATTTTCCCTGCCCTTGGCCTTTCTCTTCTGTTCCAGGTCTCCACCTGCCCCTGAGCCCCGGCGATGTCCAGAAGGCGCACAGGCAGAGTTTTGAACCGTCCCCCGTTTCCCAAGGCCCCTCGTGGGCCCAGGAAGCTCGCCGCCGCAGCACTCTGACCTCCAGACCCTCCTGCAGGGCTGACTTCCCTGGACCGGGTTCCCTGGAAGACGAGGGACACCAGAATTTCCTGCCCTGGCATCTGCTCCAGCAATTCTTTCAACTAGAAATGGATCGGCCCTCTGACCCCTTGCCAAGGCTGCTTACTGAAATCCAGGCTGTCCAGGGCAGCACACATGGCCCCTCTTTAGGAAGCCTCCCTCACCCTGGCTGGTGTGGCACAGTGGGTTGAGCACCAGCCTGCAAAGCCAAAGGTCACCTGTTTGATTCCCAGTCAGGGCACAGGCCTGGGTTGCGGGCCAGGTCCCTGGTTGGGGGTGTGAGAGAGGCAACTGATTGATGTTTCTTTTGAACATCACTGTTTCTCTTTCTCTCCCGTCTTTCTCCCTCTCTTGCCCTCTCTTTAAAAATAAATAAAGAAAATCTTGAAAAAAGAAAGAAAGCTTTTTTGACCCTTCCTGCCCTAAATGACCACTTCCTTTCCTGACTGCCCCTCATCACATCATCATATTCTCTCGGCGTATCTGTCTTGTCTTGTGTTTCCTACAATAAACTCTGCGGGGGGCAGGCGCGACCTCCCACAGCCCACTCCTCTTTGATCTCCTGTCACGTAGCGCAGGGCCCGGCCCCTCACAGGCTACCAGTAAACATCTGCTGAGCAAGAGTGAATGAATGCGTCATTGCAGCTTTCCCCAAACATGGGCCCTTGGAACCCATGTGGCCTCAGGAGGTGTCCCCTTGTGTCCTGTGACTTGTCAGGTTTGGCACCGGCCTTGCCTTAGGGAGAACCACCACGTGCGTTCTGCCCTGACAAGAGAAGCTTGTTCAGTGATGATCCGCTCGGCAGATTAGCCAACATATTTGACCAGAGGATTTTGTTTATTACGTGAGCTTCAGAAACCAGTTAAGGGAATAACTTTTAATCCTCTCAGAATCTCTGAATACAGGGACAGAAGGTAAATACCACAGAAGTCACGAGTCCAGCTCCTTACAGTGTGTAAGTGCGATTGCCCAACCTCTCCGCCCTTTTTTTAAAATTTTCAAGATTTCACTTACTTATTTTTAGAGAGAGGGGAAAGGAGGAAGAAAGAGAAGGAGGGAAACATCAAACGGTTGCCTCTCACATACCCCCAACTGGGGTCAGGGCCCACGACCCAGCCGTGGGTCCTGACTGGGAATCGAAATGGCGACCTTTTAGTCCCCAGCCTGGTGCTCCGTCCACTGAGCCACATCAGCCAGGGCACCCAGACTCTGCTTAAGAGAGGTTTTTGCTCCATGACACAATCTACATGTGATTTCTAATTCTCTTTCTTTTTCAGCTGCTGAGCGGGCAAGGATGCTCCTCCCAGTCCGTCTGCTTTTAGGGGCGCAGGCCCGAGAGTGCTGGGCCTGCCGGGGTGGAGGCAGAGTGGGGAGCACTCACCCCCGTGGCTTTCTGCTTAGTGTAGGCATATTTGTCCCGAGTCAGTCTTTCAAAACGGTAGGTGGGCGCGAACGTGATTTCTTCTTCCTCTGGAACCAAACAAAACCCTGGTGTCAGCGTCCAGGCCCCACAAGTCACAGCTGGTCAGGTTCCCTTCTCCTCCAGGCAGAACCCTTCCCCCACCCATGAGGCTGCGCGGGGACAAGGGGGACAGGGTGACGTCTGGGGAGTCCTGGGCAAAGGAGGGCGGTTCTTACCGAAGTGCAGGAAGACCTTCTGCTCCTTCCTCTCCATGAGCAGCTGGTCGTGCAACAGGAGGTCTGAGTACTGCTGCTGCTTGATCTTCTGGATGATGCCTTCTGCCTCCTGGAGCGAGGACACGGCCACTGTGAGGTGCCCGTCTCCGCCAACAGGACCAGGAGGCATGCGTCCCCGCCCGCTGCCGCCACCCCAGGTCCCACCGTCCCCGATGCTGCACCAGACCCCAGCCCCCGCCCCCGGGGATGCTGGGTTGGTACCTCTTAGCCCCACCATTTTACAGAAAAAACCCTGTGCTAGTGAAGCCTCAACCCGGTAACATAAGTTCCTGGTTATTCCAAATTTGCTGAGAGACATTGTATTTTTTCAGACTGTCTTTTAACATCATTTTATTAACACTTCAGTAGGTAGGTAGGCATGTATCTATTGCTGCTTCTTGTGGAAGCTCCTTGCCCAGACAGGTAGCCCCAGCCCAGGTGGGCAGCTCCTTACCCAGGTGGGCAGCTCCACGCGGTAGTTGAGATCCCCGAGCCAGAAGAGGTGGGTGAAGCGGTGAGTAATGTTAAAGGGACTCAGTTTCTTGTCTCCCAGAGCCAGAAACCGAAGAATGTTCATGTAGTTTTGGTTTCGCCTAATTAAATGACAAAGCAGCCACCTCAGCTCAGGGCTCCCTACTCCACCGTGGCGGGAAGCCAGGTGGGGCCGGGTGTAATGAGACTCGGCTTTGGCAGCAGCAGACTGTGGCCCAGGGCCCCGGGGTCGCGTGCTCCGTGGGAGCCAGCATCGTGAACACGCGCGATGGCTGTCTTCACAACTGGGCCACCGACAGGCACCTGTAAGTGTGCCCCAGGGAGGTTTATAACTCTAGGAAGAAGTGGTGTGCAGGTGGCTACTAGGGTAATGACGCAGGAAATGTGCTTTCTGCCCTTCCGATGGGTCCAGCCACATGGGAGGTCATAGCTGGGAGAAGACCACAGGAGAAGCCCCCAGAAGCCGACATCATGGGGTCCCAGCCTCAGCCAGAGCGGTCGCGATCCGGGCATGAGGTCTGTCTAGGCAAAAAACCCCAACGCAGGCTCTCGGGGAACAAATGCTATTACCTGAGTTTCTTTTCGCTTCCAGAAGTCAAGTGGCTGTTGACAAACCCCAAGGAGGTCCCATTGAACATGAATGATACCCCCACAGCTCCCTTGTTCCCTAAAGGGAGGGGAGAAAGAAGTCAGAATGCCAAATAGGCAGACGTGCCCCGCGGCGGGAAGTCCCGGTGAGGAAAGGCGGGCAGAGGCAGGTGTGGGGAAGCGGAGAAGGAAGGAAGCAGAACAGCTTCATCTGGGAGAGGAGATGGCACAGGAGACAGGGACTAGGGGCTGAGACTCCTTCAGGATATTAAGAAAACCAGGGGAAGGACGAGCAGCCTTGGGTTCCCTGCAGGGCCCAGGGAGGAGGCTGCCAGGGTACCCCATCCTGGCCCGTCCCCCTGAGGGGCGCTCAGTCGTCCCAGATGCCACGCAGGCAGGATGAGGAAAGCAGCCAGAAGCCTTGGGCAGAAGATACAGAAGGCGGAGCCGGAGCTGGGCGGGCTGACCTTGCACCCAGCTAACTCCAGGTCCCTGGGGAGACCAAAATCGCGCTGAGGCCACCTTTTTGTACCAGTTTTACTCTCTTCTAGACCAGTGGTTCTCAGAGTGTGTTCCAGTATCGGGGTCACTTGGGAACGTGTCGGGAGGGCACATTCTCAGGCCCCACCCTGGACCTGCTGAATCAGAAATTCTGGGGGGGTGTCCAGTAATGAGGGTTTGCCAAGGTCTCTAGGCTAGGGGTGCGCCGACAGCGGCCCCCACCAGCTAAAAATGATTTTTACATTTTTAAAGAGTTGGGGGAAAAACATCAGAAGAATATTTTGTGGCACATTGAAATGACATTAGATTTAAGTTTTGGAATCCATGACTAACGTTTTATTGGAGCACAGCTACGACTACAGAGCTGAGCGGTTGCAGCAGAGGCTGCACAGCCTGCAAAGCCTGAAACATTCGCTGTCCGGCCTTTTAGAGAAAGTTTGCCAACCCCTGTCCTAGGTGCTTCTGCCTGGGAACCTGGCCCATCCAATACAGCAGCTATGAGCCCATGTACTGCACGCCTAAAACCTGGCTGAGCCAGCCCTGGCTGGTGTGGCTCAGCGGGATGGGCCTTGTCCTGCAAACCAAAAGGTCGCCAGTTTGATTCCCAGTCAGGGCACAGGCTTGGGTTGCAGGTCAGGCCTCTGGCTAGGGGCATGTGAGAGGCAACGGCTGTTTCTCTAGCACATCGATGTTTCTCTCCCTCTCTCCCTCCCTTTCTCTCTCTCTAAAAGTAAAAAAATAAAATCTTTAAAACAAAACAAAAGGCCTTGGGGATCAGCCGGCTCCGCCTCCTTGGGAAGGGAGAGGTGGGGGCGGGGGGGTGCCCAGGCAGAGACCAAACAAGGGCTCGAGGAGGTTCCTAGGCAGCAGAGGGTGTGTGTTTCAAAACAGGGCAGCCGCTGGGACAGGAAGGAAGGAGGGACGAGGGGTGTGGACGCGGGCAGCGTGCGGTTTGTGAGCAGAAAAGTTGAGAGAGCGGTTCACGTTTGATTGCAGCAATTCGGCTATTTCCTGTTCTCTCTGGGACTGTCCTGTCCCTGCCTCCGACCCCCAGAAACCACTGGCCTCGCCCTCACCTCTGCCCACGGCCCATGTGGGGCACCTGCCACACTCACAGACAGACTCACACACCTGCTCACGTACACCCACCCTGGCACAAACTCACGCTCACACGCTCCCTGAGTCCTCTGCTCTTATTTCGATTCTCTGAAGAATCCCAGTCGGTCCCACTGGCTTACAGCTGATACCAGCGTTTCCACATCCCACCTGAGTCAGTCTAGATCCGGACCAGGGGGCAGCAACCTGCGCCAGTGGCCACCTCAAGCCCACCGCCCGGACGGTGAATCCGGTTCCACAGAATAGCCCCCCCCTTCATTTCATGCCTCGGTGTTTGCTTTCGTGTGACAGCAGCAGACAGAGGAGCAGCACATGGCCCACAAAGCTCATTTCTCTCCAGCCCTTCACAGCAAGTCTGTCAACCCCCATCCCAGGTCCCCGACATGCCAGGTGGGGCCTGGGGGCCAGCAGCGCTGGCACCACTGGCTGCTTGTTGGAAACCCAGGAAGTCGGGCCCCACCTGAGACCGGCTGCGCCAGACCTGCATTTCAGCCAGATGCTGAGAGAGCTGGCGTTGCCCCGGGTGAGTTTCTGCTGGGGGACCAACCACCTTGGTCTGCCCGGGGCCGCGGGGATCCCAGGATGTGAGACCCAGCTTTTACTCCGGGCACGTCCCGGTGGCGCTGGGCAGGAGGAAAAACGGGCCCCACCCGGCTCACCCAGAGTGTTGGCGATGCCTGTCTTCACGTTGTCAGTGCAGATGTGGCTGATCCGGTTCTCGTGCTCCGGCTTGGCCAGCACCACAATTCGAATGTTCCAGAGGGTGTGGATGGCGATCTGGAGGGGAGGACAACGTTGGGACCCTCAGCCAGGGCGTCCCGCCTGACCCCAGAGCAAGAGATCACGCCTCACCCTCACCTCCCGCGTGCGGGGTTCCCTGGCTGTAATCCTTAGACTTTGGGGGACTCCTAAGGATATCCCACAGGTGAGACAACGCATCTTAAAGATGAGAGCCGGCTCTGATGAGATTCCAGGGACGTAAAGGTGACGCGCAAGCACAGGCAGGGCAGAAGAGAGGCCCCAGTCACTCTCAGCGACACCGGTCCCCTGGACTCCTGAATACAGGTCCCCCTTTCTAGCCCTGGAGGGGAGGGGAGGGCCACCGAGCACCCAGGCAGCTTTAGAAATCGAGCGCCCACATGCCGAGCGCACCCATGCCTCTGAGATGCCGCTGGCCGGCCTTGCAAAGCCCACCGCCACGAAGGCCCAGCCAGGGCGGGGGGCCAGCTGTTCACCGTTTTAAAAGTTATGCTGGTGATTTCTTGCAGGGAGTTTTTGAGTATCTCCAGCCACTCCTTCTCGCCCAGGGGGTCCTCCTGGGTGCCGATCACGTAGATGTCGTGGGGGATGTAGTCAGCAGAGTCATCCCGCGTCTTTCCCTGCCCCTTGGAGAGAAACCAGGACGTGATCTTCTTGGGAGGGGGGGCGTTACCTTCAACAGCAAAACCCAACACCAAGTGAGTCACAAGTGCATCAGCAGAATTCAAACAGAGGTGGGGGAAGCGCGGGGGCGGGGGGGCATCACAGAGACACAAAAACCTTTCAGGCCGCCCAACCCAATGCCTCAGACGCAGAACTAGGTACTACTGTTCCCCGGGATGTCAGGTCAGTTAAGTGTCTTTATAAAGATCATATGAAGTGTCAAAGGCTAGAAAGACTCTCAGAGTCCGCGCGGTGCCTGGACCTAGTTGTACATGAGGTCAGACACCAGCTAGTCTTTGAATCTGCTCTGGAGACCGGGACGCAGTCCTTCAGGCATATGCACCCTGGGGTCAAGGCGAGCCCGTGGGCTGACAGGCCTGCGATGGAGCTTCCAGCCCACGGCTGAGCGGCAGCCATGGCTTTATTGCAAACGAGAGCTCTCAGCCCAGGTCTGATATGAGGGTGTCAGCCCGAGATTGGGGAACAGCGTGGATATCCCCCTGCACGCTCCCTCCGAAAAATGAATCAACGTAGCTCAATAAAGCAACGATGAAAGATTTATTTCTCCTCGCAATGCCTTCAAAGGTGAAGTAAGCTTTTCCCCCAAAGATTCAACTTCTTGGCTCACAAGTCCCAAAATGGCAAGAACTGAAGTGCTGCTGAGCTCTGCTGCTGACTGTCTTATGGCGGGAGCATAAACACGGGGGGCTGGTCGTCTCTGCATAAGGGGGCCCTCCCACCGCACCCTGGTGTAGCCAGTTCCTCTACACTGTCTTCTGTGTGAAGGGCGCCCCCTAGAGTTGTGTAACAGGACAGCCTTCGCTATGCCCGGCCAAATCTAGACCTGCGCGCTCACAGAGGGAGCAGCGGGCAAGGGCCGCGTGCCCACCCACGTGCACACCCCCGAGTATGGGAGCCGGCAAGATCAGGCAGTCAGTAAGAAACATGGGAGAGGCACATGAGGGTGCAGGACCCTGGCACCGGCCAGAGTTCTACGTCAGTCCCACCGCGGGCCCTGGAATGCTGGGCATGAGGGCCGGCGGAGGGCCAACGGGCTGTGGGGTCGGGGTCAGGCGCTCTCCTGACCACCTGCCACGGAAGGTCGGCTCACCCTCAACTCAGCTGATGGGCCAGGAGTCCCACCGTGAGTTTTCACTTCCAGGTCGCCCTGCCCCTTGCTGCTGTTCAGTCCCTCCCTCTGGGCACTGCCGGGAGCCTATCTGCTGCATGGGGGAGGGGGGGGGTGTCGTGGGCCTGACTCTACCCAGGACCAAGCAGGGGAGACAGGTGCCTGGTTAAATTTGGGTTTCAGATAAACAACACATAGTCTTTAGAATAAGTTTACCCCATACAATATCTTTATCTGAAATTCAAATTTAACTGGACATCCTATATCTACTTATTTTTTCATCTCTTAATGAATACATGAAATAATTATTTAGCATAATTTACAGTTAGTATATAAGTATACGTTAGTATATAAGTATACAGTATGGTATTTAATATAATATACATTTGGTATATATCTAGTACTCATTTCTAGCTGCATAGTTACACTAAATAGTAAAATTTATATTGAGCATATTATATTTATATATTTGGTATATAATATATATTAGTATATAAATATACAATATATATACTTAGCGTAATATATATTTAGCATGCATGTATATATTTCTAGATAAACATCTATACTAAAAATTATTTGTCATTTATATGAAATTCAAATTTAATCGGGCGCCATCCCTCTCTCCCTCTCTCTGCCTGTGTCTTGCCACGCTGCTACTCAAGGAAGGAGTTCTTCCTTCGAGCCCGGGGCCCCTTGGCCAGCTGCCCAGGACTGGCAGGTACCCAAGAGCTCCTAACCCAGATGTGCAGCTCCTTTACCTAATGTTCTGTGACTTGGACACGCCCCATAACCCACTGCAGCAGTTCCTGGGGTATGAGTCCCAGGGCTCGTCCCCCTTCCCCATCGTCTCAGGAGAAGGGTGGAATTCCCTAGAAGGGAGGGTGTGCAGAGGGACTGGGGTGGGGGAGACAGGTTCCTCCCGCCCCTTTGAGGATGCTCAAGGCAGGAGGCAGAACCCAAGGGGACCACGGGAAGGAGGAGAGGCTGCCAGACCTACCCATGTTCCAGGTGCCGATGAAGATGGTGATCATGTCGGGCTCCGGCTGCTCCGAGTGCTTGTTCTTCATCTGCTGCAGGAGCTGGCAGAAGCCTTCTCTCTTCTAGGGAGTGAAGGGCAGACAGACTCAGAAAGGCCTCTGACCCCTGCACACTGCACTTTCAAAGTGCCAGGCCAGCCTCAAGAAAACTGACAGGGGCGCGAGTCAGAGCCAACGTCCCAGCCGGCGATAGAGAAGCGGTCCCGAGGCAAGCAAGTGGCTCCTCCGTGACCCAGCCACGCGGCGGCAAGGACCGGCCGCTGGGAAAATACTCAGGAACCAGACACAGACCCAACCCCATCACGGGAACTGCAGCACGCATTTCAGTACAGAAAACAAGCGAAACAACCGTAACGTCCACTCTTGGGAAAGGAATTCACAGTGGTGTTAGGGGCCGTCCATATGCTGGAATGCCACAGGGTTCAAAAGCTGTGGTGCAGAAATGCTTTATCAGCAGGACGAGGTGGTCAAAATATATTAAGTATAAAAAGCCTGTTGGCAAACCAGTATGAATGGCACCATTGCATTTTTATCAGAAAACCCAAAAACCATCCTGAAAGATACCGTCTAAGGTTTACTGGTGGTGTGCGTGTGCTGCTATTTTACACTTTTTGCTTATTTGTAACTTTTCCACCAAGGAGGCTAGATTACTTGTGTAATGAAAGGACATTTAATGAAAGAACCTAATTGAAAAGAACACAGGAAAACTGTTGCCATAGCCTCCTGAATAGGCTTTCGTTAGTTGTCCTGGAAACCTGCCTTTCGTCAGAGGTGACTCATCATGTGGTGCCTCGGGTTACCACAGGTCTCGACCCTCCAGAGCCCGCGGTGGCGGCAGCACTGGCTTTTGCGCCTATGTCTCTGTGCCCAGGACAAGGCCCAGCCGGTCCTGTCATCTCCCGTCTGGCCCCTGCTCCCTTGTTTCTCTCAGCCCCTTCCCTGTCGCTGCTCCCAGCCTCCCCACCCTCTCGGCCAGTTCTGGGCACCCCGGAACCTCCCACTGGTCTCCCACCAGCACACCTCTGCCACTGCGCCCACATGGGGCTGTCCCTGTAAACCCAGACTGGGAGCCCTCGTCCCTCAGCCTTACCACGGTGCCACGGTGCGATCAACGGGCAGCTGGGGTTGTGGGAGCCCCTCATGCCCTGCCTCACACGCGCTGTGCGCCCGGGGACGAATGCTAAGTCTGTGATCATGGGTGTCAGCCCCGGGTTGACCGGTCAGAGGCGGATGCGGTCACAGCGAATCCTGCCTCCGGCTGTCCAGAAGCCAATGTGATGCCCGAGGACACCCAAGTCTTTCCGTGGGCCCCCATCATCTCTCATCCCAGGAGCCTGCGTCCGGGCAGGGCACTGCACTTCTGCGGAGAGGGGCCCCGTGTAGAAGCGGAGAAAGCGCAGGCTGGGATTCAGATTTCAAGCTGGGGCGCCCTGGGGGGGCTTCCGAGTGCAGCCCAGAGGAGTAACGGCCTCCCAGTGGGGCTGGGGGCTGGGCGTAAAGGGTGCATCCTCTTGGGGAGGCAGCGTGGAGGAGGGGAAGGAGGACAAGAGGACGGGGCTGCGACTGCTCCAGTCCCAGCAGGAGAAACGCGCCCCTCACTGACCTGGGCTCGGCGTCCCCGCCCCAGGTGAGAAATGCAACACAGCAACACAGCGCGTGGTGAGAGCTGAGCGAGCCCCCAGCAGGTGCTCCCGGGCGGGCGCGGAGCCGGCCGTGGGAAACGTGCACCCCTCACCCGTCCCTCGCCCCCCTCTGGCCGTTGTCACCATCTGTTGTCACATACCTTGGAGTCAGCAAAAACGTATTCTTTCCTCTGGGTCTTCTCCTTCTCTGTTTCCACCAAAATCACCAACTTGTTCAGAAACTTCTGAGACTTGATGAGCTGCAGGACTTAAAAGAATGGGAAGTTCACTTACGCATTCGCCCACTCATCACCCAATACATACAGCGCCCACTCTGTCCTGGCACCTGACCACCGACCACCCTGGCCCTCCCCCCCTCAGGAGGAGCACCTAACTTGAGCCTCATCTCGCGGGCCCCTTGGCGCCTGCCGGGAGAAATTTATGCTGGGAGAGGGTGGAGTCTGCGACAAGAAAGGGGTGGCCTGGCCAGGCAGAGGGAGTGTGACTATCGCCTTCTCATCTTCCTCCCTCTTCCCCTCCTTTCTCCTCCTCCCGACCTCCTTTCCTTCTGCTGATCCACTTTAATGTTTATCTAAATTACATTTTGTATTTCTGTCAGAGATGAAAAGGCTCAAGTTGTCCTACAAGGTTCACACACACAACAATACCCCCAACCCCGCCTCTCTCCAATGTTCCGCTTCCTAGAGGCAACCACTTTTTTTCTTTCATTAAGATGTTATGTATTTATTCCTAGAGCGAGGGGAAGGAGGGCAGAAAGCGGGGGAAACATCGATGAGAAAGCATCGATAAGGGAAGCATCCGTTGGTGAGGGGCGAGAGTTTTTCCGCTCTCTTCATGGACTCTTGACATTTTACTCCGTCTCTAAATAACATGCCTCTGTTGCTGCTTCCTGGTGTTTCAGGTTTGCATAGTTCAGTGTCTCCTATCGCACAGTGGCTGCGCACCATGGAAGATGAAGGCGCAGCGCTGTCTCGCGCGCACGCACACGGCCTGGCCCCGCACTCACCGTTCCCCTTCCCCCACCAACGCCCGTCAGTGCCTCCATCCCCCTTCCGATAATTACATCTTCAGTGTGGCTGGGTAAGTAGTCAGCGTTTTTTATTCTGACTATGAAAATGTTACTGACAGACGAGTCCTGGTCGTTTCCCTTTTGCCTACACAACTTTTTGTTTTTCCTGGAGTTAACAATTGCCATGATTTTTCATTGGTCCTAACTCCCAGTTTGTAATTCTCTCCCACATGATCAGCACTTTCTCATCAATTTCCTCATCCCAGGGGAGCGGCTCCCAGAGCCTCTGGGCCTTCTCTTCTCTGGACGGGCGGCCTCTAGGCCTGATGCACAGCCTTTCCTGAGGGTCTTCCTTGTCCATCACCTGGGAACCCATCCACCCGTTTCCCTTGCATCCCATTCCATGTCTTCCTTTCTTGGTTTGTGCTCTCATTTTTGTAACAGTGGAAACTTGTTCGGTGGGAAGTTGGAACCCACCCCACCATTCCTTTGACCTTGTTTCTCTAAGTGCAGACTCTGACTAATAGGGAGCTTGTAGATGAGCAGCATGTTTGTATTAAGAATCCTAGGACCTAACTTGAAAAGATACAGACCCGACCTTCAGGCATCCCAGCTCCGAGAGATGTGCTGACCTTCAACCGTGGAGCCGGGATGACTAAACCGGATGACGCACATCGGACCGTCACCGGCTGTATCAGAATGGACTGTGCCCGTCTGCACATAGACAACTTTGCACCCCCCTCCCCTGATCTCTTTGTCTGTTCCCCTCTCCCTCCCTATAAAAACCTCCGCCTGCACTGAGTGGAGAGACGGGCTTTGTGACCTGAGCCCCCCATCCTCCCAGGAGATCGGCTGAGACATGAGTCCCCCATCACTCAGGTGGTTGGCATTTCAAAATAAACCACTTTCCTTTACATCAGCACCTGCCTCTCGAATACTGGCTTTTCCAGCGGCAGGCGGCAGGTGGCTGGACCTGTGTGTGGTTACATCTTGGTACAGCAGCTCTCTAGCAGCTTTCTAAGAAAAGAGGGAGTGGGTGAGGAATGCTTGGAGGCCTTGTGTGTCTGAAAACTCTACCCTCCCGCGTCACTAACAGAACCCTAAGTTCAGAATCATCTTCCTCAGACTCGGACACCTCGCTTCACCAGCTCCAGTTTGTGGCATTGCTGCGGAGCAACTCAGTGTTGTTCCGATCCTCCTGCGTGCAGAAGGGTGCACGCAGCAGGCTCAGCGGCAGTGCCTAGGAAAGCCCGCTTCCGAGGTGGCCCTGGGCCGGCACGGGGAACTCAGGTTCTGGAGGGTTCCCAGCATTCTCTGAGCTGTGCGCTGGGCATGAACTGGACAAACAAGGCGGTGGAGGCCGGCCGCCTGCCCTCCTCCTGGGAGTCCAGCCTCCAGGAAAAGCTCCAGACCTGGAGTCTCCCAGGAGTTTCCCTGGTGGACAGCTCTTCACGCGTGTGTTCGTCCCTTGTTGGGAGACAGGTGCTTGGTGTCCCCTGGACTTCATCCCACACGCCCCTTCCCTTTGCTGACTTCACTTTGTGTCCTTTCCCTGTGACAGATCATAGCTGCGTGACTCTGTTGAGTCCTGTGGGCTCTCCTGGAGAATCACTGAACCTGAAGGGGGTCTTGGGGAGCCCCAAGGCAGGCTCTAATTCCACCATTTGCTTTAAAGTTTTTAGGATCTTTTCACTGAATGCAGAGCTGCAAGGCTTCGCAATGTTGTGTGCGTCTCGAGGCAGAACAGTCTTCCTCCGTCGTGGGGGCACATGATGGACCATGGCCGGCCTGGAAACCGATGCTCAGAGTGCTGAGGTTTTCCTTAAGTTGTTTATTTAACAAATCTCCCTGTTCCCATTTTCCCTTATTGACATTTATTTTGGCATTGAACCTCATGACTGGTCTTCTAATTTTTAAAAATCCCTATTTTTCCTGTACTCTGTCCACTTGTTCTACCTTCTAGGAGCTTTTTTCAACATTGTATTTCCACTCTTCCTTTGAGTTTTTGCTTTTAAAAATGTCTGCGATATCCCTGGCTGGTGTTGCTCAGTGGATTGAAAGTCGGCTTGTGAACCAAAGGGTTGCCAGTTCGATTCCCAGTCAGGGCACACGCCTGGGTTGCGGGCCAGGTCCCCAGTAGGAGGCATGTGGGAGGCAACCACACATTGATGTTTCTCTCCCTCTCTTCCTCTCTCCAAAAATAAATTTTAAAAATTTTTTTAAAAAAAAGTCTGCTATAATCTTTTGATTCCTCCCTCCCTTCCTCTTCTTCCTCCCCTTTCCCCTTCCTCTACCTCTTCCCCCTCCTTCTTTATTCTTATTTTCTTCTCTGAATGCTCCTTTTTAAATAGGATTCTCTTCTTGTTTCATGGTCCAGTTTCCTTTAACCTTCATAATTTGTTTCCTTCAAGTCTTCTGCCTTTTTTCGGCCTTCAGTCTCCCTGTCTCCGGGTCCCGGCTTCCCTCCCGTCTCCGGTGACCCTCGGCTGTCTGCGCTCCGAGAGACAGAGGGGGCCTGTCGAGCAGGGCTTCTCCACTGGGTGGACTCATGGGCTGATTCGTGGGCAAACCTCGCAAGGGCAGCATCTTTAGGTTTTTGTGCTAGTCACATGCTCCAAAGACACTGGCAACTTCCTGTTTGCAGGGCGGGAGCCTTGCCGGCAGCATCCTGGGCAGGACAGGGGTGAGGGCTGGGGTCTCGGCGTTCGGAAAGCGACCAGCACTGGGCCCTCTGTCTCCAGCAGCTTCCTCTGCCCTCCCCAGCGCCTGGGGCCCTACAGCCCTTTACACTCTCCCGAGGGGAGACACCCAGTCTTCTGCCTAACGTGTGAGGGGAGGCCGCCAGCTGTGAGGAGGGGGCCTCCGGTGGCCCCAACTCTTTTTGAACAGATTTTCATCCACGTCTCTGTTTATAACCCCACAGTCAGCCCCACTCCTAGGGCCCCCGACTCTATCAGCGCCCCTGCCCTTTGTGGGTTCTGTGGTATGAGTCAGGTGTCTCAGTTTTTCCTACTACTTGCTTCACATTTAATATTTATGCCTCCTGCAAGTTGGTTATCATCATCGGTCTATTTTTCGGCGCTCGGAAATTCGTTGCCATCCTTTGCTCTCACTGTCTCTGACCTTGGGAACGCTGCCTTTAGGAAGGGAGCCGACAACAGCACGTGCGTTCAGAGGCCGCCCTGGCTGGGAGCTTTGCCCAGGGGACACCGGGTGGGTCCTGTGTGCTCCGTCTGGCAGCAGCAGTGAACGGCCCACAACACCTTTCCTACCGCCGCCAACATGATGCCCAGACTTTTCTGAATCTGCCACGATTAGGCCATAGTTCCTTCCCTTTGGATGTCCTGGCTCCTTTGACATTCATTTGCAGAGCTATGTGGCTGCCTTGGGATGTGACCTCTTGCCTGATCAGGGCCAGTACCCACCTGCCCCTACAACTAGTTAAAGGAAGCTGGAAACCCTGCCGGGCCCCTCGCTCCCGCACCCCGCCCCCCGCCCCGCTCACCCCTCGGCCAGTATGAGCAGTCTGCCCTCGGACATTGCCCTCTGCCCATCTCAAGTCGCCATCACCGCTTGCCTGGCTACCGTCACGGCCGATGAGTCAGTTTCCGTGCCTCCCCCATCCCCTGCCATAACTTATTCTCAGCACAGCGGCCACAGTTCTTTCTACAGTGGGATCCTGTCGCTCCGCTGCCTGGCATCTCCCCCCGGGGACTCAGCTCAGCCGACCCCCACGACTGGCACCCGTCTCTGAGCCAGCGCCGCCTTCTCACAGGGCAAGTGCGCCCCGCCCTGGCGCCTCTGTCCCGGCCCCGTTCCCTGGTTTCCCGATGGCCAGCATCTTCTTGACACCCAGGGGTGTCAGCTCAAACGTCACTCCTTGCTACTGTCCCATCATCCCGCTGCAATCCCAGCCTGGAGTTTATCCCCTGACACTGTCCTGGCGCCCATCTTTGGGTACTCATTTAGGTTTCTCCTTGACTTGGACGCAACCTCCCTGGCTCGTTCACACCCGTCTCCCCAGAGCCTGGCGGGCGCGCGGTAGCTGCTCAGTGAGCGGGTACAGTATGACTTCTTCCTGCAGGAACTGGCTTTTCCTGTGCATGGACGGCCTGGTGCCAGAGCTGCTGGGAACGCAGCAATTGGCACCGGGCCAGGAGGCTCCAACAGCCGCAGCCACAGCCTTGCTCCTCGAGAGCAGCATGTGACGGCTGTAGCGCGCCTGGAAACGGACCGTGGGCCAGGGCTAGCTCGGGGCAGGCCCTGCCCCACTGGCCCCAGAACAGCCCTCCAGGGATCCCTGATTTGCCTGGACACAGAGGTTTCGAGCAGCTAAGTAACTTTCTCCAGGTCACACCCTCATCCAAGCCCTGAAGCAAGGACGTGGATCCAGTTCAGCCAGGGCCCTCACCCTGAAGTACACCGCGTCTGGAGGCCAATCACAGAAGCCACTGAAACACACAGGCACGTGGACTGTGTTACTGGTCCAGAGTTTGTTCATTCATTCATTCGTTCATTCAGTATATACCTGATCCCCTCCTCTGCGCCGACACTGCCCTAGGCTCTGGGGACTTAGCAGCGAACAAAAAAGACCCACTCCCTGGCCTCCGTGGGACATGCATTCGTAGGTGGGGCGGGGGGTGCACGAGCCATACTGCTGCGGGGGCCTCGGTCCGCTGGCAGCCCCTGCGTGCGCGCCTGCTGAGCGCCAGGTCCCGTGCTGGTGCCGGGCTGTGTCTGAGACACTCTGCCCACGCTGGGGGAGGGGACTTGTGAACACAGAATTGTGTTCTGATGCGACAGGGGCCGTGGCAGAGGCTGAGGCGGGCCCCGCCTGCCCAGGCGGAGGCCCGGAGCCAGGCAGCGGCGTCCCTCGGAGAGTCTGGGCCGGCGCCAGGCACTCTGCTTCTCCTTTGAGGGCTCACAAGCCTGCCCTGTAATCGTCCGTTCGGGGCTGGAGCTGGGATTCCCCGGGGCCCCTGACCCCTAGCTGGGCACTTTCACCCACCCCTGGCCCACCGTCCGCAATCCCATGAAGGTGTATATTCAGCCCTCTAGTGGGAAACACATCAGTGCCCTCCAGCGTGCAGGATAGCGTCTCTGGCCCTGACTTTGGTATTCAAGACCCTGCCCACCGCTCGGGCCCCAGGCTCCACTGCTCCTCCCTAGACAGCCACAACGAATAACGCACCATTTCCCTAATAGCCTGCATCCCTTGCACGTGCCATTCCCCTGCCTCAGGCTTGGTGAGCTCCTCATCTTTCAAAGCCCTGACGGAGCCCTCTCTGTGGTAGGAAGCCCCCTGCACCACTCTACAGAGGAGCTAATCAGCCCTCCCGTAGGGCTGGCCTTGCCCCTGACCCACATGTGAACACACGATCACAGGCCAGTGTCTCTCTAAACTGCTAATTCTTTGAGCGAGTTCTGTAACTCAGAGCTGGCCCAAAGCAAGATGCCCAGGGAAAAAATACCCAATGGACTAAGCTGACAAGAGTTCACATTGCTTCTCAGAATCCTGGGAGGTGTTTCTTTCAGCCCAGAAACCTCAGGGGTTTTTTGTTTTTTTTTTAGAGCAACCATGCACTCTTCAATAATCTCTTCACTCATCTTAGGTTTCCGTTTCCTCTTGTCAAAGTTGGGACCCCGCCCCCCTCTTTCAGCTGTAACTCATGCTCTGTGACAGATAAGAGGACGGGATGGCTCTCAGCTGATCGCTTTGAACACAGCCCGCTCCTGCCCAGGCCCTCGGTGAGTCCCCACCTCCCCGGCCCAGCTTGGCCGTGAACAGAGCGGTCCCACCCCTCACTGGGACCTCCGTTCTGTGTGAACGGGACAGCCTGTCACGCTCCAGCATCTAGGGACCTCATTCCTGATCCACGCTTGCTGCTCGGTTCTGCCTTCCTCGCGGCTGCCTTGCACTTGGAAGCATAATTACAACGATGATGGTGGTGGCGGCGGCCAGTTTTATTGAGCACCTACTAGGTCCCAGGTCCTAGGCATGATGCACTTTGATGTTTCCTTGTTTAAGACTCATAGCAGCCCTACTGGATGCTACATACCCATTTGACAGGAGAGTAAACTGAGCAGAGAGAGAGAGAGAGGCCACTAGACCAAGGTCACGAGTGATTGAGCTGGGACTCAAGGCTGGGCTTCTAACACTCAGCCTCTGTGCTGTCTACACTTTCCCCCCGCTGCATCCTGCCTCCTGCACAGGGCTGGTCCCCCACTCCCACCCCCCCACCACCCAGAGAGCACCCCTTGGGCCTTGCTGTCACTCCCAGGTGGGACTCAGCAACAGGAGGTGGCAGGCCCATGTGGGCAGAGCCCCCCTCCTGGCCCCTGCCTGGACACGTAGCCACGGGCCAGAGCTGCTGAGCGGCCTGTGCAAGTGCCCTCATGTGCACCAGCTCATCCATTCCTTGGGACAAGCCTGTGAGAAATCTGTTGTTAGCATCATCGCTATTCCCATTTCACAGGTGAGAAAACGGAGGCACGGAGAGCATGCGCAACCTGGCAGTGATACAGCCAGCCAGCCGGTAGCAGAGCCCGCATCGGCACCAGAGCCCCTCGGTGCTCTTGTCCTCTGCCTTCCCCACGGTCACTTGCCCGCAAGCATCTGATGTGCGAATATTCCCATTTTACTCAGCAGTTTCCTTGAGGGTGCAAAGCCTCAAGTGTTCTGAGCAGCTCCTCCACGCCTGGCTCTTTCCTAAGAAGCTTTTCCTGCAGATTATTCACTTAATCCTTGTCATCTCCCTTTCACAGATAAGGACACGGAGCTCCAGGGGTAACAGCTGCTGAGGGGCAGAGCTGGGGCGTGACTTTAGACGGTTTGGTTGCAGAGCCCATGCACGGAAACCGCCTCTCAGTCTCTGCTACACTAAAGATGCTGCCTGATTCGAACCGCAGCCCTTACACATGCAGGGCCCTGGGCCAGGCACTAAGAGGCGACCGTGTGCATCAGCCTGGCCCCCAGCTGGGAGGAACGCGTCACAGAACTGCCCCATCTCCCCAGGTTCTAAGGAAGGAGGCGGAATGGACAAGGAGGGCCTCGGGAAGAAGGGGTGTGAGAAGTGGGCCCTAGGGCTGGGTGGGGGATTCCGCAGGCCGGGCGGGGGCAGTGGGTGTCCTAGCACAGGGGTGGCATGTGCCTCCTACTGACCGATCACTGGTAAGGACGCCAGCAGAATGGGGGCATCACGGGCGTGAGGGGACTTACTTTTCTTGTGGCTGTAGAACTTGTCCTCAGAGCCATCCTTGGACTTCTTAATGATCAGTTTCCCAGATTCAACATCGACTTTGAGCTGCAGTTTCTGAGGAATCCCCAGAGACTCTGACTTCACCTGTGAAGAGGAGGAGGAGAAGGGGCAGGAGGAAGAGGAGGCAGGGAGGGGGAGAAGTCAGTCGTCTCCTCTCTGTCCAGGCTCCCATGGTGCCAACCCGTGAGCCCCGCCCCCTGGGCCAGTCCAGCCTCAGCGCCCCACATGCGGCCCCCTGGCCCCCTTTTCCAAGCCCCTCTCGCACGAGGCCACACACCCAGGCTCCCACCAGCAGCTCCTGAGACTTGCTAACACGTGGGGAGGCGCCCAGCTAGTCCGCTGTGTGCACTGTAGCCCTTCTGCCAACAGGTTTGGTGAAGGAAACGGGCGAACTACTGGAAAATTGTTCATTCACCGCCTAATTTGACAACGCTCATGAATCTGATGACATCTACTGCCAGAAAGGATTTCAGTGACAGATTTAAGCCCCTGAGCCTCGTTATAACCAATAACTGAACACTGACAGATAATGAGGAAAAAGACAACTGCCATGCTCAGAAGTTAGAAATACAGGCCGATACCGAAGGATCACCAGGGCTAGGAAGGGCTTTGTAGGGGGAGGGGGCTTGAGGGGACATCTCACCCTGTCTCTGAATGGGGACCCAGGGATGAGATGGATGCACTAGAATCTCTGGGGATAATTAAGAAAAACAAATTTCTGGACCAGAGCCTGGAAGTTCTAACTTGGCCTCTCCCAGGGAAATCATGAGATGTGTATTTCTTTTCCTAAGCCCCGCCCCCCACCCCGAGGCACTATGCAGACAATTTTTGATGCCCTGTTTGATGTCACTCACCACCCTCCCTGCACTGAGATGGACAACGTTTAAGTCACCTTGGACCGAGAAGCCCTTTCCTGGGCGCCTCCCCATGAAGCGGGGCCCGCAGGTCCATCTGGGCACCCATTCTAATAGCTAAGCATCCTCACAGGTGGTCCCACTGGCCGCCGCTCTCAGTTGCTGGGCTTCTTGACATTGCAGAGGTGAGCCAAAAGCTCTCCTTCCACAGGCACCAGAATGGCCCCCAGCCTCCAGCTGCAAAGCACAAGGGCACAGCCACTTACCTCAAAGGTGACTGGAGGGATGAGAGACCGCCGGTTGGGAGCCTCGGGGCCCTCGTGCAGCAAGGCCTTGACCTGCGGGCACACACGCACAGCGCCCTTGAGCCTGGGAGGCGAAGGAAGGCAGCCTCCTCTGGGACAGAGTCAGCAGGCGCAGAGTCTGCGCGCCTGGGCCTTCTCTGAGCCGAGAGGAGACCAAAGAGAAGCCAAGAGAAGCTGCAGGACTCCCCCTGCCCCGCTACCAACCAAGTACCTTATCTTCAATCGAGGACAGTAGACTTGTCAGTTGGCTGAGCTTGGTCACCATGTTGACTGGACTGGCCTCACCAGGCACCTGGGAGATGAGGAAACGAGCAAATCAGGACTCATTTGCGGCGCGCCAGCCGCTGAGAGGGGTAGCGCTGGACACTTGCCACACTTCATCGCGTAGCGCCCCCTTGGCCCCCAAGACCCCAGAAGTATGAGCATTATTGCCCTGCGCAGATGAAGAAGTCAAGGATTTCCCATCGCCTCAAAAGTGTCATGGCCAAAAAACAAGCCATTTTTTCTTGCCTCTAAATCTGCTTCTCCCCCGGACCTGCGCACCTCATCCACTCACTTGCTTAAACAAACTCTCGGATCAGCCTTGATCCTTACCTTCCTCCTCCTCCATCTACAGCATCGCTGCTCCCATTCGACCCCCCAGTATAACGCTACCCCCCTGCCCGACATTCGGACTGGCTGCTTCCCACCGCTGGCTGGGAGAAAGTTGCCCAAACTCCTTACCCGGCCCTCTGAGACCACATGATCGAACGCTCCACCTCCAGCCACGCGGCATCACTTTTGATCTGCCCATGGCCTTGACCTGTCCTTTCTGAGGAATCCCCAGAGACGTGGATGTCACCTGGGGAAACTACCCCCTTGCCACTCAGGTCCCAGACCCACAGAGGTCTTCCCTGAGCACGCTCAAGTGGCCGCCAGGGCAGGTCTACCACATCACCCTGCTTTGATCCCCGCGGCCATTCATTTCTTCACTGTGTGCTTCCCCGGCTGGCGTGCAAGCCCCATGGGAACTGGGACCGAGCACTGTTCAGGGCTGCAGCCTGGGCACTGGGAAGTCCCCAGCTAGCAAAGACGCCCAGTGGGTTGCTCAAGGCCCAGCGAGCTGAAGTTACAGGTCAGAAGCCACGCAGCTGGCACATGGCAGAGCATGGCTTCACTCCTGTTGGCCTGGCACCACGTCCACCATCTCAAGCATTTATTCCCAGAACAAACATTTATAAAGCATCTCTTCTGTGCCAGACACGCTGCCAGGTGCCGGAGGTACGGAGTTAAGAAGATACTGCCCCTGCCCTCCAGAGGCAGGGTGGGAAAATCAGACAGGTGCATCATCAACTGGAATACCTGGCGGAACAGAATGAGGCTTCTCTCCAGCCAGGCGATGGCCCTTGACCCCCGCCCCTCATCCTTGTTTGACAAGACAGCCAGGCTGCGCTCGCTTTCGACCCCAATTTCCCACCCAGCCATCCCTTCTGTCACCGCCATCAGCAACGTCATCGCCACTGCCCTCCCCACCATGACCGCTGTCACCTCCGTCAGCACCATCACTGCCACCTCCAACCACGAGCCGCCACCCCCACCACAACTATGGCCGGCGTCCTCACATCCGTCAACACTTTCTCTGCCTACTCAGCTCCTCAGAGATGCAGCCAACGGCCGCGCTGACGACGGAAGAGGCTTTCAGAAGGGAGCGGGGCCTGCGGCAGGGACAGGCCGGAAAGGCTGCTCGGTGGATGGGACCGCTCAGGATCCCCTCGTTTTAGGGTAGTTTTTCTCCTAATGGACTGAAAAGGTAACAGGTTTCAACCCTCTCATCCTCCCTTGCGGACACTTGGAGTTACCTGCTTGCTTCCTGGGACAGTTGCCTAGCAGTTTTAGGCTGGTGTCTCCGCACCGCCACCCCCCTTGCTGAATCTGTGTCTTTTGGAGCAGGTGTGGCAAAGACTTATAAAGTATAAATGAAGTTCCTGGCAACCTAGGGTGAATTCTTGCAACAGGTGTGAGAATGACACTGGAGCTTTGCCTGCCTGCCTCTTACTCAGCAGCACGCTCATGGGGACGGGATGAGTTCTCACGCTACAGCAAACGTATTTTGAACATATTCCCTCATCTACTCTGCCCATGTGTTGATTCGCATAGTCCTTGTTCTGCAGCTGGGGAGGTTGAGTCAAAGTGGTGAGTCAGCTTGTCCGTGGTCCCAGAGCTAGTGGACCCCGGAGACTGGAATGCGAATCTAGCCCAGGGGTTCTCAGCTGGTGGTGATTTTGCCCCCCAGGGGACATTTGACAAGTCTGTTGACATTGGAGGTGTCACAGCTGGAGCACGCTGATGACGTCTAGAGAGCAGAGGCCAGGTGGTGTTAACCAAGCTGCCCCAAAGGTCGCTAGCCTGGAGACAGCAGCCGTAACTCACAGCTCAGCCCGAAGTGGGCGGCTGGGCCGTGGGATTAGACAAGCTGAGAGTTTGTTGGCTTTACTTTACAGTTGACTTTTCAGAGGATGTGGGTTCAAGGTTAACAATGGCTTTTCTTCCTCACACAGGAGACCCTGTTATACCCCCGCCTCCGGAAGTCATTTTAATAACGTGACATTTTGGGGCCGCCCCCACAGCTCTCCAATAAACCCCACGCAGGGCCCCGGGGTCCCGCCTTGTCTCGCCCACCTCGGGGCAAGGGCTTAAGGTCGGTAAGAGTCTAGCACAGTCAGGTAGCTCACACGTGCATTTCCATGTCTTGCTTAGCAGAGCCCTGCAGTGTCGGACATGACGGTCCCCATTTCACGGAGGAGGAAACCAAGGAGCGCTGCCGGCGAGTCAGAGATGGAGCCAGGTGTTTCTGATGGGAGGGGCACAGTTTTTACCTGGGGGAGCCTTGAACTCCCTCCTCTGGGTGCAAACTTCTGAAGGCTTTTCTCTGTGAGTCAGGGCCTCATGGGGGGGGGGGAGCAAAAACCCTGTCTTGCTGCTCCGCTCTGACACCAGTCACAAACTTTGGCCTCAGCTGGGTGGGACGCACAGTGGGACCGCTGCGCGCAGTGGGACTGTCAGCTCACCTCTCCGGGGGCTTTCCCCTTGTCTAATAGCCTTTGAAGATCTGGGGGCATGGTCTTCTAGTCAAATTATTTAAAACCCTGTTTTGTCTAGATTTGTTCTGACTTCCCTGGAAATTTACCCATCATTCACTTGGAGGAAAGCAAAATTTTCTTTTTCTTCTCTGATGAATTTTTAAGTTGTTCAAGTAGAACATAATACGTATAATTTCTCACTAAAAAAAACCCAATATAGTCAAACCCGAAGCCCCCCTTGGCCAGGGACCCTCTGCCCAGTTTCACGCCCCAGCCCCCACCGCCGCCGTGGTACCCAGGGCTGCTCTCTGGGTATAAATCCTTCTGGCACCATTTCCATGTCACACTCTATACACTGTCCCGCCCTTCGCTTTTTTTCCACCCAACAGTGTGCCTTGGAGATCTTTCCACGCCATAGAAAATTCCGCACCACAGTTTAACAACTCTTGACGTCTGTGTGGTTTCCAATGTTTTCGTTTTTAGAGACAAAGCCACACTTAACATCTTTGTCAACATCTCTTTGTCCCTAAGACAACTGCCTACATATAGGACTGCTTGCTTGGAGGATGCGTGCGTTGAACATTTTCACACTGTCGGGCCCAGGGGAGGCCACCTCACGATATCCCACGACATGGCACGACATCCCACGATGGCCTCTGGATTGTCTCCGAGCACAACGGCCCGGGAAGACGCGGGACTGAGCGGCTCCGACTCACTGGCGCCCCTAGAAGCAGGAGAGAGCTCTCCCGAGCCGAGCCGGGCGCCCTCCCTGCCCCTGAGGGCTGAGACACAGCCTCCTCTTAAGTCAGGAGCCCCGGGGAGAAAGCTGCCTGGCGCGCCTGAGCCCAAGCCCTGCTCACGGTCCTTCCAACACGCCGGGACTTTCTTCGTCCCCTTTCTCCCAAGCGTGTTTGTCTACAAAGTATACAAAGGTGCCGAGTGCGATCATTTCTTTGAGCCTCATTTTCTGATCTGAGTATCACACTGGGATTCTCCCGTACACCCATATTAAACTGGTCTGTCTCCTGTTCATCTAATCATTTCAATTTTACTACTTTATTACTAGTCCAGCCATTAAAACTAAAGAAGAGTAGAAGGGGGTGAATTTTCCCCCCTCCCTGACAAGGCGAATGGCCCAATTGCTCTTCTGAGAACCCACTTCCACTCCAGCAGGGAGGTGAGCCCTCGGGAGCCCCTGCTCACCCCCAGCCCGCCCTCAGCCAGGCCCGACTTCACCCACCGCTTCTGGCCTGTCTGATACGCAAGAGGAAACCTCCTTGTTCTGAAGGTCATTTCCTGGTTACTAGCCAGGTGAGGTTAGGCATCTTTTCAAGGACACAACGTTGGCCATCCCCAGTTCTTCAGTAAAACGGTCTTCTTTATTGCCGTTCCCCATTTTACAAATTGGGCTGTTTTTAACGGAATTATTTGTGGACTCTACAAAATGTTTAACCCTTCGTCCCTTATCTTGGCTGCAAGTACTTTCTCTGAGATATTTTTTTCCTTGGTTTAAATTCTGCTGATGATGCCTTGTTACTGGGACCTTCACTCAGCGGAGAACTTGTAAGATGTGAGCAGGTGCCCGTGGGGGAGGGGCGGTGCACCTACACCTTGCTCTTCCCAGGGCAAGGGTAGGAACAAGATTTTAGGCACTTCATGTATTTTTTTTCTTCCAGTTTCTTAAGAGAAGTGGAGGGAAAGGCCTTGCCTTGCCACCTCACTCAGCACTAATGAGTACTTTTGCTGTCGGGCGCGTAATTTTAAATCTTTACTCCTCAAGTTGAAATCAGGCCGTGGGAAATGTTTTATGGGGGAGGGCGGGGTGTGGGTAGAGTTCTGTGGCTCTCGCCCCTCACCCCAAAGCATACTCTGGTGGTCCAGCAAAAGCGGGGCGAGGGGGAGCTCCCTTCTGAGCCCTCAGGACACTGGCTACCTCCAAGCCCCACCCCCACCCCCACCCCCAGTTTATCAAACTCATCTTTCCAACCGCCAAACCTTTACCTGAGGCCGCGGACGGAGGCCCGGGGAGAGCTGCTGGTCAAACAACCTCTGCAGAGACTCCAGGGAGGGAAGGGTCCGGATGACTTCTCTGGGGGCAGAGGACAAGGGGAAGGCCGAGGGTTAGTGAGGAGGCGGCGGAGGCGCCCCTGGCTTCACCTGGAGCCTCCTCTGGCGAAGGCAAGAGCCCTTCCCAGAAGCACCAGCCCCGGCTGAGACCCAGGCCGGCCCGCCCCCTAGCCCCACTCCTTCCCACACCCCCGGGCCAAACTGGAATCGTCACGCTTAGACCTGATTGACCTGCTGTGTCCTATGCGGCCTGTGAAAGATTTGGGTCTAGAATCACAAAACTACTTTGAAATCACTTCGAATCCACGCTTCCAACATTTACTGTTGATAAGAATCACCCCCAACCCCCCGTGTTAAAAATGCAAATTTCTGGACCCCAGCCGGGTTCGGTCTGGAATCTGCATTTTAAATGCGTGCCCCAGGAGCTTCCTGACTCAGGGCCCCTCCCCCCAGCTCCGATGGGCCCAGAGGGTTTCCTTGGTCAAGCCCATCGAGGACGCCGCCGCCGAGACCAGGGCCTCACGGATTCTTCGTCCCCTTCTCATCTCTCCCAGTGGCTTCCTCATTGTTGTAGGCATGGCGGGCAATTTTGAGCGCTACTCTTCACTTACTTCACGAGAAGCTGCAAATGTTTTTACATATGTAACATCCCAGTTGGTTTCCAAATAATCTATGGAGTAAATGTGCCCAAATTGGTTGTAGATATTTGGGTTATTTTGAGATCTTGGGGATCAGAAATAAAGGCTGCTCTGAACAGCTTTGTTCGTATGGCTTTTCCTTATTTTCAATCGCAGTTTAAGGATAACCAGAGATTACGCTCTCAGTCAATATCGCCAAAGCTTTGGGTGACGGTACCAATCCTGGGCCATCAGCACTGTCCAAGCCCAGAGGGGCTGCCTGAATTCCTTCTATTGTTTTCTTTTGTCTCTCCCTCAACACTGCATTTCAATCCTGATGGGTTGATTTGCATATCTTTAATTTCTAATGCCATTAAGTATTTTTCTACATGGTTGGTTGCAACTGTATTTCTCTTTGTACAAACTCTTCCTGTTCTTTGTCAGCTTTCTGTTGGGAATTTTGTTAGTACTTTTATACATTGGTACAAACTCTTTATAAATTGCTTTGCTTGTAATTTAATCTAGGTGTTCTATGTTTTTTCCCCATTCTGTTCTTTTCATCCTAGGTTGGCCGGATTTCATTATAAAGTGATTTGAAATATTTTATTGTTCTATTTCTCATCCTTTGATAATTTTTTGCTTACCTTAGTCAATGATGTATCATCGGGATTTACTGGTGAGCAACTGTTTGCTCATTTTACATTGGTTTCTCCCTTTTAAAAGTGATGTTTCGCGGGGGTTTTGTGGACGCGCTGTTCTCTGCACCCACACCCGCCCCAGCTAGGCCATTGCTGTGTCCATTCCCTCTGCAATTCAGCCGCAATTTCGGAAAGGATCTAAAAATCCTGAATGGTTGGGGCCAGTTCTGTTACTTATTCCTGTATTCATCATCTTGTGTCCTGGGAGTAGAGAAAGCACCCTTTTGCTTTGGGTGTATTCATACCCTGCTGCTCTACTGAGCAGCTGGTTTCTTATTTTTAGGATCACCAGCACCCAAACATTTTTGGAAGAAAAAATTCTTGGATCCTTTTTGAAGTGGAGGCATGTGATCAGTACATTTTCACAACTTTTAAAAAACATCTGCAAAGGCTCCCTGGGCCTTTCAGTGACAATCGAGTTTGAGTTGACCCTGGGTCAGAAGTCTTCTCCCTGGGGACACCTCTTCAGAATTTTTATTATCTCATCAGAAAGTGTGGATAATATTAAATGCTGTAATTTTTTAAAGTAACGGTGCTGTTCCTATGCAGTTACTTTCTGTATCCTTCTTCCCTTGGGGTTTAGAAACATGGTAAGAGGAGGTTTAGGGGCTGCTATTTGGTTGTTCTGCTAATGGCATCTTCATGAGGTTTTTCAACTCCTTGGGATTTAGTTCCTTTAAAAGTCTGGAAAATTTTTTTGTCTTATACATGGAGTCATCAATTATGTATCATTTTTTTCCTGCCTCTTTCAGAGCCCATCTTAGCCACTATAAATTGAATGCCTACGCCCTCTTCGCAGAGACAGCCAATTTTTATCACGCATCCTCTGCGCATTCTTACTCAGTGCCCCCCCACCCCCCCCCCCCCCGCCCTCGAGTTTTCTCTGCGCGTCCTTGACGCTACACCCTGTTCTGGGATCTGATTTTCAAATTTGATTAGAAAATGATGGCTTTAATTGTATGGCCTCCAATGAAGCAGTTACAATAATGGTGAAGTATTTCTGTTTGGGGTTTGTTTGTATATTAAAACCTTTACCCTGTCCTTTCTTACTATCTCCACACGTGGACACCTTGTTTTAAAATTCCGCTTGCATCCCTCCTCCTTTCTCCTTGTCAGGGGTCACCAAGTATGTCCAGGCGCTGGTGACTTTATTCTCTTTATTTCTCTTCTCTCTCTGGAACAGGCCCTGCTCGGTTCTGGGTAGCCTAACTTGGGGTCACGAATTTCCCTTCAGCTGCTGAGATGGACGCAGGACCTGACACCCTGGTGGCATTTTGGTGGCAGAGGCTCTTGCACTGTGGCTCCCGCCCCAGCCCCTGGCCACCTTCCATCAGGACGTCGGCGCGGTGCCGAGTGGTACGAGTGCACAAGCCCAGTCCCCTTTCGCGTCCCCCTCCGGCTCCTGCTCCACCTCAGCCTCCTACGCTTCACCTCTGCACAACTAGGCGGGCCCCTGTCTCCCTGAGTGACCGTACCCCACCACCTCCCCGCTTTACGTGCCAACAGTATACTGATGAGCCCCAGTGTATACCCCCAGCCTCGAGGACCCGCGGGCCCTGACTTCTAGCATAAGCCCTTGGTGGATGCTCAGCCAGCAGCATGCCTGACTGCGCCCCGAGACCGCAACAGCCCAAAGCAAACTCCGCACCCCCAACGCCTGCGCCTGGTTTCCACCTGTTCCGTGGCTGGCATCGCCATCTTCTCAGCCACACCAAAAACCAAGGGGTCACCTGGAGTGTCCACCCCTCACGCCACATCCAATCATGTTGTTCTACGTCCCACATACGCTGTTTCACACCAGCTCTCAGCACCCACACGGCTCCAAGCCCTCGGGTCACTTAACTAACGCCCCTCAGCCGTCCCTGTGGGCAGACTCAGTCTCAGCCCCGGGACTCGGCAGGGAGGAAGGCGGACAGAGGCGCCTGCCCCTGCGGCGTCCTTCTCATGGGCCACCGTCACGTCACAGCCACAGCCGCTGTGCTCTGGCCTCCGGCCTTGGGTCTGCCTCCTGGGGTCCACGCGCCACAGCCCCAACCAGATGGCCCCGCAGTCCCCTAAAACCTCTGCAGGGCCTTGTGCGGGGGCCACGCTGCGGCTGTGCCCAGCACTGGCCGGTAACACACAGCCTGTTCAGTCGAGCTATGAATAACAGACAAACAACGAATGGTCTACTCGTGTAAGTATATCCCAATATTGCATGGTATATACTTCTACTAAAAAAGTGTTTGCGTTTATCTAAAACCCAGACTGAGCTGAGCATCCTAGGTCTTCCTGGCTGAACCGGGCCACTCCATGCCTACCTGCCCCCACGTCTGTTCCAAGCCCCTTCCTTCTCTCACTGAGCCCCAGCCACACAGCCTTTCCTCTGCCCCTTGCAGGCCCGCCTCGCTCCAACCTCAGGACCTCCGTACTTGACATCCCTCTGCCGCATCGCTGGATGGCTAGCTCCCTCTTGTCACCAAGGTGCCAGCCCTGTCACTGCCTCAGAGAGCGCTCCCTGACCTCCCAAAGGACACGGGCACCACCCCCACGCAGTGTCTCTCCCCCACTTTTTCTTGTTTTCTTTTGTCGTGATGCTTCCTAAAAATATCTTGCTTAATTATACACTGAAGCTACTATCGCGCCCCTCTCGAAGATGTCAGCTCCAACAAGATCTAAGGAGCAGGAACCTTGTGCGTTATGGTTATTGCTGTAACCCAGCACCACCCAGAACAGAGGTCAGAGGATGCCTTCCAAACATCCTCGTTAAGTGAGCGAGTGAGTGAATGAATGAATGAATGAATGAATGGAGTAAATTGAAGAACAGCTCCAACCAAAGCACATTGAAAACTACAAGTTCACAGTTAGTTTCATGGAACAGCCCCAGCAGGGGTGGCGAGGGGGATGAAAAACATAACTTTGTCCCTAAGATTTTCTAAAATTCCATCTCTCAGTGATGCAAGTCTCTAAGCCTGCTGTCCCTTTGCCTGTGAAGGTGAAGACAAACAAGTTTGCAGGGGGCGCCATCAGAGCATCTCTAACTCTTGCTGCTCCGTAAATAAAGGCGTGGACCGGCTAGAAGCCAAAGGGAGCTTTTTCAGCTAGCACAATGTACCAAAGGGGCAGGCTCGCTGCAGAAGCTGCTGCCCCGTGCGGGGAGGTGCCCTGGACCCTAGGAAAGCTCGGGGAGCAATGAGGTGTCAGGGAACTCTGTCCACGTGCTGAGTGATGGAGAAGCTCAGTGGAGAGGCTTAAAAACATTTTCTTCTGGACAAGAAAGTATCTCCATTGGAGCAGAAATAAAAGCTTGTACCAGTCATCATGAAATTGTTTGTTAGAAAGAGTCAGCCCTGGCTGGTGTGGCTCAGTGGATTGAGCACCAGCCTGTGAATCAAAGAGTTGCCCGTTCGATTCCCAGTCAGGGTGGTGGGCCAGGTCCCCAGCAGTGGGCAAACAAGAGGCAACCACACATTGACGTTTCTCTCCCTCTCTTCCCCCATCCCTTCACCCTGTCTAAAAATAAATAAACAAAGTCTTTTCTTTTTTAAAGGAAAGTGTCATGTGTATTTGTTTCCCTAGTGATAAATGAATTATAACAATAGCATCAAATGAAAAAACATCTCTCTGTGGGAATTTATAAGTAATGATTCTAGGTCCAGTTGGCCAAAACTGGATTAGTGGAAAGCCAATTTATTGCAATTAAACCTGACAGGCCAATTTGATGAGTGCTTGATCTGTCAAAGACATTATTTGTTAAATTTACTAAATGTACCGATGGTACTTTTAAGAGCCTTTAAAAGGAAAGAAAGTTCAATTTGATTACTGATGATAGATTCTTTTTGTTTTTTTTCCTGCATGTTTGCTAAACTAAGATGGATGTGGCACTGGAGAAATTGACAAGAGAATTTTGAAACTGCTGAATCTGTAATAAAATACAAACCAGTATAGTCCAAAAAAACTTCCCCCATATGAAATGCAATTTTTTCCAACCAAAATGTTGACCTTTTATTTATGAAGGGATTCCTTTGGTTCCTTGTGATTTCCTTCCGATGTTTTTGAATGTTCTTTTCTATTTTTCGAGCTTTTAAAGAAAGTATTAAAAATATTCTCTGCTGATTTTTTCAGGTAACAGATCAGCCTGAATTTTTACATGTCTAACAATTAAAATTAATTAAACCTCAAATTAATTTTTACGTGAATAAAATTAAAATGTAAAATATTTTTAAAATCTAAGCAAAACTGGAATTTTTACCAATTGGTCATTCAATGCGTTCAGCATTAAAAAAGTGAAATCTTGGTGAATTGGCTCGCTTGGAAAAACTGGCCACCTTGGGCCAGCACCAGCCAGGCAGAAAAGAAGCTGACTTTAACTGAGTCCCTCTGGGTGTCCGATGCACTTGTCAAAGGTGCCGGCTTCTGCCAGAAGGTAAACCAGCCCCAAGAGTCTTAACTGCTGGATCCTGTGCAAATGTGAAAGGTTGGCGGGAACTCCTGCCCCCTTCCCATAGCGACAGGCCTCCAATTAACTTCAGTTTAAAAACAAAAAAGCAGGGCCATAGTTCAAATTGCGTGAAAACAAAACCTAGAAACCGCCGCAGAGCTGTGGAAGCCAGCCAAGTGCCCGAGTACCCTGAGGACCGCAGCGGTATCTCAGCAGGCGGGGAGCACCGGCCCCCACCGAGCCAGCGCCCCTGCCTGGGCCCCTCCCTCCGCCCCCGCGCCCCCCTTACCCGTAGACCTCCTTGCACAGGAGCACTGTCAGTTTCTTCAGATGAGGGAGGCCGCTGGAGCCCGTCTTCACGAACTCGGCGTCCAGGGCGAGCTGAGTGCTTAAGTAATCCTGGATGGCCTTCAGATGCTCTTCCGGAAGCCTGAAAACACAGAAATGGAAACAGGCTTGTCCTGGTCCTTCGGCCACAAACACCAACAATAAGGAGAGGAAATCTGCATTCTCAGAGTCTCCTGCTGCGACAGGTCCTTCGGGGAAACACCTGCGTGCCCGCACCGTTCCCTGGGCCTCCCCAGAGGGCGGGAAGCGGGGTAGCACGATCAACGGGTCTCGCGAGGGAAGGTGCCTCGTACCCCACCCATAAAGGCTTGGAAAACGTCCCGCGAGTTGCTCCCCTCCCTCACTTATTCCTGAGCACCGGCTCTGAGGGCTACGGGGGCTCTAGTCTACAGATGGCACATGGTCCCAGCTTACAGGCCACCTGCGGACTCACAGCCAGAGGCCACCTGGAGCCCTGCGCTAGCGCTTCCAAGTCATTGTAGGCTCCGTGGGGAAGGAAGTGTCCGTGGTGAGAGAAGGGACCTGGGAATATGGCAGCGGCGGCCCAGGTCCCCTGCCCTCGGCCTCGCTCCTGAGTCTGGTCCGGCTCCTTCATGGACTGCAGGCTGGACCTGCGCACCTCACACGGTGGCCCCACGGAGGAGAGCCCAGGCTGTGCGGCACCAGCGCTGGCCCCTAGGTCCGATCACACTGCTACGTTCTATGTCCCAGCACTTATTTTTCTAGATAACTTTTGAATCTTGGTTCCTATAATAATAAAAATTAATCACAGCAAATATTTCCTGAGTATCACATCCTACGCACTTTATGTTTCTCCTTTTATCCCCAAATCCTTGTTATGAGGCAGATAGTATTATTCCTGTTTCACAAATGAGGAAATTGAGGCTCAAGGATGTTGATTTTACCTGTGTTCAAAAAAGTATTACAAGCCTTAAAAGTCTTGGTTCCACCCTTGGCAGATAATCAAGTTGAAACTGGAGGTCACGGGTTGGTTTTTGGTTTTTGTTTTTTTGTTTTTTTTGTAGGATCCTTGAAAGTATGAAAAGCAGTTGTTCTTAAGATTAGAAAGGAATGTATTCTGGCTCATCTAGTTCGAGAAGTCAGCAACCAATTACGTACCAGTTGTCATAACATTTAAGTTTAATCGATACTTATTCTGAGTCTCATTATCATAAAAACCCAGTTTCTGCCTAAATCCATTTTACTAAAAAGGACAAAAATCTCTCTCTATTGTTAAGATATGTATTTTAACCATTGTACGGACTATTGATTTACAACTTTGAGACCACGAATCCTTGTTACCAGGAGTTATATTTGTTCAAATGTTTGTTGCAGAAAAGTGTTGTCCTGAGATGTAAACCCTGCTGTTCAGAGGTTAACTTGACTCAGTGGTCTCGTGTTAGCTATGACCCAACCGATTAATTTAATTAACCTGCACAAAAGACTGCAGGTTGCCTTATACTTAAGAACCTAAAAGCGGTCCTCTGTGTACAAAACAATTTTACAAACAAAAAAGAGTAACTGTGAAACACAAGGAAGAGTCTCCGTTTTTCATGATCCAGACGGGAACAGGGCAGGACCAGTCGCTCGTCCCGGACTGCAAGGGGACGTTTCAGGAAGGGTCGACTGCTGTTTGTCAGCGGACAGAGCGAGCAGGCCATCCCTGCTCTCACACAGTCAGCCGCCCCCAACACCTCTCGAAGACACTGCACAGAGGTCAGGCTGCACACACTGTCCTGCCCCACGGGGCTGTGGGCCCACGGGAACCCCTGTGCCCGGCGAGGAGGGGAGCAGAGGAGGTGGAGTCAGTTGGTGTGGCAGAGGCGGGAGGACTGGAGGATGGCGGCACCGGCCCCGCCGGGCTCCCCGCCCACCACCCCCGGGAGGTCACGCGATTAGCGCCTAAGCCTGGAGAGAAACGCACACTCCAGGACACCAGCAACGGGCTCTGAAGGGAATAGTGTCATACGCCTTTGTTACTTATGTACACTTATCAGGATGATTATGATCGTGTATCAACAGAGTCAAAGCATCGGATATTTAGGCAATTGATAAACAGCACAAGAAACTCAGGATGTGGGGAGAATATAGCCTGGCGGGCCTGAGGAAGAATCAGAGGATGTGTCAGGTGGAAATATAAAACACCAGGTATCCTAGCAACAGCGTGGCTTGTGTGCACCTGCAGGCATTTCCTTTGTCTTTTGCCAGATCCAATGGTAGGTGAGCAGCCCTGGCCGCCTCAAACTGATCTTCCAAGCGGGAGACGTTGCTGCGGGCAGCCTGACATTAGGGTATTCTCTGGGGGGCCTTTTGCTCACAAAGAAACAAAAATGTTTCTAAATTATTAATGCATGGAAGTCACTGGGTACTAATTTAGGAATTCATCCAGCACATACATAGTTAGTGCCTGCTCTACATGCTGGGCTCTGGGGCAGGTTGCCCTCATGGAGCTTCCTGCCCATTCAGGCCGTCCCCCCGCCGGTCTCTTTTTTTTAAATTTTATTTATTTATTTATTTTTAGAGAGAGGGGAAGGGAAGGAGAAAGAGAGAGGGGAACATCAGTGTGAGAGAGAAACATCGATCGGTTGCTTTTCTAATGTGCCCCAACCAGGAACTGAACCGTCAACCCGGGCATGTGCCCTGACCGGGAATCAAACCATAGACATTTTTTTTGCTCATGCAGGACAATGCCCAGCCCACTGAGCCACGTGTCTCCGAGGGGACTCACCCGCTGGTGTCCATGCTCTGGAGCCGCTGAAAGAGCGTCTCGGAGAGGCTGGGCCGGCTGCCCTCCGTGGCTCTTGGATTCTCGCCCAAGAGAGGAGCCTCCTTGGCCTCGCATGGCCCGGCAGAAAGCGGGATGTTTCTCGGTGGCAGCTCAGGTGGAGACGGGACACTTTCTAACCGAGACAAGAGCAAGCATGTCACGTGGGCTAAGCTTGAACTTCTCTGCGGATTGCTTGCCTACAGAGAGGGCCACCTGGGTCCTCTGTGCAGTGACCTTGCCTGACATGCAAAATCCAGGCCACTGCACCCAGGTACAGACCCCATCTGCACCCTCACTGTACCCCTGATGAGACCAGGGGTCAGGGGGGTGGGCACTGAGGCCAGAGACCTCGCCTTGGTGGGCATTGGCCTCGGGGGCCTAGTATCACTTGTCTCATTGAGGTGCTCTGCACACACCGGACATTTGGGGGCCAATGGCCGTGACAGACAGAGCTGCGGGCCTTGGGCGGGTGGAGCCGGCAGCCTCGGGCGGCTCAGCAGGATGGCCAGCATTCAGGGCCACAGCAGGGGCTCTGGACCAGGCGGGGAGGGGCCCAGGTCCCAGCACCGGAGGAACGGGGTGGGGACCAGGCGGGCCGGACTCGCCGCTCACCCCTCTCCTACCTTGCTGCCCTTTCCCCGCTTTCTCTCGGGGCTCTGCCCTCCTTCCGCCTGCCCCCCAGACCCTCAGAGACAAAAGGAACGGAGGGATCCTCCTTCGCCAAGGGAACTGAATAGGACACACATGACTTGAACTTGGCCTGGCAAGTAAAACCCTGGCTGTTAACCTTCAGGAGAACTTCCATCCTCTACACACCATGAATGGGCCAGGGTCCCGAGCCCCTCGGTCCAAGACCTCCTGCCCGAGCCTCTTCCTGCACCAAATGGCTGCCCACGGCCTTCGCCAAGGAGCTACCTCTTTAAAGGCCCAGCCCTTCACTTCCTCTCCTGGTGGCGCTCTTTGTTTCCTGAGGGGGTGGCCTCTGTTCTGAGCCCCATGGGGACGGGGGCGGCAGCGCCTTGAGAACACCTGAGCTTCATTTGGGGAAGTGAAGCTGCGGTTAGCAGGCTTGTTTCTCTTTCTGGCTCTTGCAGGAGGTCCCAGGGCCTCTCTCTCGAGGGCCAGCCTCAGAGGCAGAAAAGCTGAGCCGGGGCCGTACGGCCAGTGAGGACTGAGTGTGGGGAGGACATTTCTGCAGGTGGCCTCTCAGCGTCAAGGCTGAAGCTGGGTGCCTGGGGACAACTAGGGGTGGATGGCTGTGGCACAGCCCCAGTGAGTGACCCTGGAGTCACGCATGGACATGTCAGCTGTGGCTACTTCACAGCTGGAGGGGACAACAGGGACATGGCCTCCCTGGGCCCCTCTCAGCCTGCGAGCTGCGGTCCTTTGCAAACGCTCTGCCAGGTCCCAGCCTTCTCCTCCGAGCTGACGAGGCTGCCTGAGGCAGCAACGAGCTTGCCGTGCAACCGCTCAAAGTGGGTCGCCAGGAAGGGCGGAGGCCCGCAAGCCAGGCTCGGGGAGCTGGAGGAAAAGGGCGCTCGGCACGTGGCTGCCAGGGACAGGCGGGGGAGGGGACAGGCCGGAGGCCCCAGCATCTCTGCCCTGCCCTCCCTTGGAGGCAACCCTGGGGACCGGGAGGTTTGCAGGCCCTGGAATTCAGGAGGAGTCCTGGCTTCCTAAACTGAAGGACTCTGTTCTGTAGCTTGGGTTTTTCCTTTAGGAAGAGAACTTCTAAGGGGAAAAGAAGGGCTCTGCCAGGGGTTGCCCCCCCCACCCCCCGCCCCGTCTCCCCAGGTGAGCTCCCACCCGCATAGCCTTCCCCACGGGATGCTGTTCTGTTGGCCTGGGTCTCTCTGCAGCTTGTGGGGCAGGGCCTCCTCTCACAGGCTTTTAGGGTCTCTAGCTTTCATTCTCTTTTAATAAGGATGTAAAGAAACACCTTTCTCACCCTTCCAGTTAGCTGCAAGGGTTTCCTCCTCCTTCACTCTCTCCCCAGTGAAATGCAGCTAATTATTCTGCAGATGATGGCAGCTGTATTTATTGAGCGCTGGGTGCGCGTACCAGGCCCTGGGCTCTGTATCTATCGACTCGTTTGATGACACCGTGAGAGGGAGATGGTATTTCTGTCTCTTTAAGAGAAGTCTGCGGGTAGGCGAGGTTAAGTGATTCACCCAAGGCCTCTCCACTAAGACTCTGAGGGGCAGGATGGCCAACCCCGGTCCGTCTGACTCAGAGCTGTGTCCTAACTTGACCGTCACTGCTGTGTCACGCTCTCGCTCCCTCTGCTCATCGGACCCACCTGATCTACCAGCACCTGTCTGGGGGAAACCCCCCAGGACCTCTCCCCCACCACCGTGCTGCTTAGAGACCAGGGTCCCAGAGGCCCCTCCCCCCGGGGCAGTGGCCTGCCCACCTGTCTCCTCCTCTGGTTCGTCGCCCGGGTCCTCCTCCTCCAGCGGCACCGGGTACTGCAGGTGGGTCACCAGGCCCATGTTCTCCTTCTTGTAAAACTCGATGAGCTGGTCCAGCTTGGTGAAGAACCTCATGGGGACGCCTTCAGACGCCTGAGGACAGACCCCCCCGAGGCAGGGTTGAGCGGGCTGGGACATGCCCCAACTGCAGAGGCCACCTGGGCAGAGACGGCGGGGCGGGGGGGGGCCAGGGAGTGACCACATCCGAAAAAGCCCTGGTCAGGCCAGCCTGCCACACCTGTGCCTCACGCCCTGTGGCCAGCGGCTCCAGGGACAGCTGGCGAGAGGCACAAGTAGGACAGTTTGAAAGGTTTTTTTTTTTTTCTTTCGAACATGTTTTTTAAATACAAGTAATATATTTTCATTATGGCAAAACTGGAACATACAGAATTTTTTAAAAAAGAAATCACCTGTCCTCTCACAACCTTGAGACTTATTTTCAATAGTTTAGACTATTGTTCTAGACTCTGTGTGTGTGCGTGTGTGTGTCTGGTGGGGGAGACACCCCCACACAAAAAAATTTAGTTATTTTAAATACAGGATAAGTCTATCGTAGCCATTGTTTTGCTTTTGTTTTGTATGTATCTTTTCATTTGCGACAATGCTATTTTATCAAAGCTCAGAAAATGAGTCAGCACAGGAGTCTTCCCTGATCAGCGTCTCTGTGGCTGATCACGGAGCAGCCGGGAGATCATTGAGAACCCCCCAGGTTGTGCAGACGCCCCAGGGACAGTTACTCCTCCGGGTCTGTGGCTTCGGCAGGAAGTTCCAGGAGGTTCCTGGGCAGCCAGCCCCTCTTGGGGAAGCTCTATGTAGGGGAGACCGCCCACCCAGGGTCTCAACCTGCCTGAAGCCCCAGGGCTCTGAGGCCCAAAGGCTCCAAGGCCCCGCCCCTGCTGGTTCCCCAGGAGGGGCTGTCAGGCAGCAGGTGGGCGGGAGAAGCCCCGGGAGACTTACATCCTCCTCGGTGCTGTTCCCTGCAGCCCCCACCCAATTGGCCCCAGTGTCCTATGTCTTCCCCCGGTGGGCCCGTACCCTGCCCTGCCACTCCGTGATGTTCCCTGTCTCAAGGAATGGCACTGTCACCTGTCCACGGGCACAGAGGGCAAAGGGAGACAGTGAGGCAGGGTGTCCCTGATCCAGCCAAAAAGATGTGAGCGGGGCTGCAGCCGTGGGTGGCGGAGGAAGATGCAACCAGGCTGGGGGAGGGGAGGTGGGCAATGGGCTGGGGCAGCTGGACAGGAGCAGGGGATCGGTCAGGAGGAAGATGCAACCAGGCTGGGGGAGGGGAGGTGGGCAATGGGCTGGGGCAGCTGGACAGGAGCAGGGGATCGGTCAGGCTGCGTGTGGGCACGGGGATGCGCACCCACGGGGCGCCCTCCTCTGGGTGGGGCTTCCCTGGCCTCACGGACCGCAGCGCCCCGGTCCTAACGCTCCCCTGTGATGCACCCCTGTTATCATAACCACCATCAGGACAATGAGAATCATGTGATTTTTAAATGAGCTGAGAGGCCCTGGCCAGGTAGGTCAGTTGGTTAGAGTGTCATCCCCATACACCAAGGTTGTGGGTTCAATCCCAGGTCAGAGCACATACAAGAGTCACCCAGTGAATGCATCGGCAAGTGGAACAACAAGCTGATCTCTCTCAAAATCAATAAATAAAAACAAATTTCAAAAATGACTTGAGAAGGCGCCATCTTTGGAGTTGGAGGTCAGGAGTCCAACCGTTTCCCTGAGGACTACCAGCTGCCCTCTTGCCCCTCATATGCAGGAAAGGAGGCCAATAGGCAGATGTTAGCAAGTCTCCCCGCACTGGTGGACCCGCAGGGTCCAGGGCTGAGTGTGGCTGGACCATCTCGTCTCATTTGCCCTCAAGGAGGCACCTTCCGCTCCGGTGCGGTTGGGCCTGACCCGGCAGGACAGGGTGGTGCCGGGCCTGAAGCTCTCAGGGCTCCCGGTAAGTGGCCTGAAGGCGGTGTGGCCCAGACTGGGGCAGGCCCAGACAGCCGGGAGTGGACCGTGACTCAGTCCTGCCCCTGGGCCCTTGTTCCTGGCGGTCAAGCCGAGTGGTAGTGAGGGTGCATTTGCCTTCAACCCGAACCCACTGCGGTCTCTCAGCTCGACCCAGGGCTCCCCGCTGGGCCTCTGCTCCCCTCCAAGTGTGTCTGCACATTCCTATGCACAGCACACAGGCGTAAACCTGTGTGTGCGGGGGTGCACATGTGCGCTTGAGTGTGTGGCTTAAGCTCCTCAGTGAATTTGCAGAGTTTAACGAACAGGTTTTTAAAAACATTTTTTAAAAAATAAATTCCCTAGTTTTCACGAAGCCCACGTTAAGCAATCTCTTTCAGGCGTTATTGAACCAGAAATATCTGAGCAGGCTCAGCCAGGCCTTCTACAAAGGAACAGGTTCAAGACCAAAAATGAGCCGAACAACAAAAATAATTCTAAGTGACGCAAGATCAATACACTTGATTCAGTTACACAGTCGTGATAAAAGTGCCATCCTGTCAAATGCGCAGCTGGCGATGACCAGCCATTAGGCATATGGGAAAAGGATTTGAAGATATCAGAGAAAGTCAAAGGCAAACAGCTCATGTGTGGGTCCGGAAAAGGGTCCTCGGCCGGAGGACGCCTGGGGAACGCGTGGGTGAGAGGGCGCGTCAGATGGGGAGTTTCAGATGCCGGTGCCGAGACGAATCGGTGAAGAGACTGCTAGAAAGCGAACATGTCAACAACCACACATCAACTGTGGACACATTGGATTTCAGAAACGCGAAAAAATAAGGGTCCTAGAACCGATGACATATGCTGTGTACTAAGCATACAGTCTAACAGGACACTCTAAAATGAATCAAATCTCCCCAAAATAAATAAAGTTAAACTGACCTAATCCCTACAGATCCACTTAGGTGGGAGGGCCCGGAGGCCAGTGCTGGGTGCTGGGTGCTGCTGGCAAGACCAGCGGGCAGGGATTATTCGCACTCGACCTGTGCACCGAGGCCAGGGAGCCAGGCCCGGCCAACCAAGGCTGCCGGACGCACGGGCGGCCCAGGTTCCCAGGAGGGAGAGAGCGAGGGCTGAGTCCAGACCCCACAGACGGTGCAGCGGCCAGGCTGGGGGTGCAGAGGCAAACCGCTGACGGCCGCTCAGAGGCACTGCCTGCGGAGGGACACCTGCCCGCACCTCCCCCACAGCTCCGGAGAGGAAGCACCCAGGAAAAGCGAGGGCGCTCTGCAGGAGGCAGGTCTGTGGCGGTGGCAGACGCCACCTGAAGCGAAGACTCACTGGGCAGAGGTGGGTTGGCAGGGAGCAGCCTGCCTCAACAGGCAGCACAGACACACAGACACACAGACATACAGACACACAGCGGAAATGGGGAAGGCAGGGAGCCCCCTCGGGTCTCCGAGGTAGGGTCTCCTCAGGGGAACGGTTCCCGAGGGTGTCCTCAGCAGTCTTTGTTCTAGGCACTAAGACTTGAAGAGGTCAAAGAGACTCCTTTGAGAACCTATGTTCAAAGCACATTCTAGAAGAAGACAGGAGGAGCAAAAGGTCAGAGTGGCCAGGACAGCAGAAGCTCCCGAGCCGGCTGAGCTGGGAGCTGGGGGTGGGGCAAGGCGAGGAGCGTGCCAGGCAGGCCACCTGCTCACAGGGCATCTACGCCTGCGTGGGGCCTCCCCCGCCTGCCAAGTCCGAGCTGAGAGTCGGAAGCTGGGGCCTCCGGGCAGATAGGGCACTGACCTCAGGCTGGTGGGAGCCCGGGGTCCCATAGGTTTGGGACGTGGTCAAGGTCATATCCACCTGAGAGTGCACCTGTAGCGTGCTAGTCCCCCGCGGTGCCGCAGCACCTGGCAGACAGAGGGGCTCCGCAGGCAGCGGCTGGACAGACTTGCCGCGTTTGCATCCGGGGAGGGGGACTCTACGTGGGTCACGGGCTGAGGGTGCAGAGAAACAGCGTAGGGGAGGGCAGGTAGCAGGGGAGCACCCCTCCCCTCCCCACAACCAGAGCTCAGAGGCAGTGCCTTTTCAGTAATTTAAAATGCAAAGTGTCTGAAAAGAAGGTTGTCATGTTTATCGAACAGTCAGGTCCTGGCAGGAAGCAGATGTCCAGTGAAACTGGGGAACTGGGGGAGAATTTAGTGGACGGGGTGCAGGGTGACCAATAAGAGGGGTGACATACCACAGAGCTAGCAACGCTGGGACAGACCCCGGGGTGGGGGCGTGGGAGCCGGAGAGGACTGCCCAGCAGGTGCTGCGGCCGCTGGAGCCGGGCGCCCCTCTCCTCACCTGGCTGCGGCTTGACCGCCAAGCCCCACTAGAGAGGAGGGGCCGGGCACACAGCCGTCAGTCAGCCCTTCAAGTCCACAGAAGGGGACCTGTTTGTTCTGCAGGCGGCCAGCACTCACAGCAGGAGGGGGGACCACGCGTGTGCCCAGGGAGGGGCCGCCCTTGATCCTTAGGAAGTCGTGGCCTCCAGACTTTGTTCCTCATTCCACAGCCGCTGGCTTCCTGAAGAGATTTATCAAGTGATTTTGAAACAGAAAAGGAAGCCCTGAGAACTTAGCCATTCACTGAGAACGTGAGCCCAGCCGTGGGGGCACAGGCGCTCGCTCCCCAGGTGACCGCTGCTCTGTGACAACCCTCCCCGCAGCGGAACCAATTCCTTGTCTCCAGCACGTACCTAGCACACACAGCTCACAAGCAAAGAGCAGCATTTCCCAGTGAAGTCGGCCTGTTCACCACTGACAATGAGCCAGGCACAGAGCAGGCACCCCGCCGGGGTTTCTGAGATCGGCAGAATGGACGTGAGCTTACGTTCATCACCAAAAGTCAGGCAGAAAACAACATGGCAGGGGCGAGTGCAGGCTGTGAAACGAAATACCCATCTCTTCTCCTGCCTCCCATTAAAACCTCCAGGTCTATGGAAGGTTCCAGGTGCTTTCCAGCAGGGTCATTCCCAGGGACGCCCTGCGGACAGCTCCCACCAAGCCCAGGTGTGCCTGCCACCCCACAAGCTTGCAAGCCCTGGAAGGAAAGGGACCCTGCTTGGCTCGACCTTGTCTAGTCCCCCAAAC